ACTGGATAGCAATACTGGATAGAAATACTGGATAGATGGACACAGGGTGTCCATCTTTGGTCTAATTCTTGATTCCAGATGAATGCACTTAGTGTTGTTAGTATTATTAGGTGTGATGATAACTATAGGGTTGTTTTGTTGTATTTTTAAGAATGCCTTTTATCATGTTGAGGAATTTTTTTATTAGTGTACTGGTAATAGTGTCAATTTTTACCAAATTATTTTCACCTTTTGTTATTCCTCAGTTTGTGAGTTTGTGGGCCTACATTGAATTTTTAAATTATTTCTCAATTTTTTGAGACTAGAATGTATTTACATCATTTCCTCCTTCCCTTTTCTTCCTCTATTATTGCTATTATGTATATATTTTCCTTTTGCAATGCTACAATAATAACCTTTTGTTCTTAGAATTAACCTACTTGTTCACAGTGTACTTATCATATACAGATGTTGCCTAAGTCAGGTTATTAAAAATTTTGCTGGTGATTCTCCATTTCTATGAGTGATCAGTGTTTTTCTGTCTTTATCTGGTTTTGATGTCAGAGTAATCTGGGCTCAGAAAATAAGCTGTGAGCTGGTGTTTGTCTGTTTCCTGAGTTTATGTAAAATTTGTGGTATTTCTTCCTTAAACATCCATGCCTGTAGGCATGGGGTTCCCTTTGAAGGGAAGTTTTAAACCATAAATTCAGTTACTTGAATGAATCCTGAAGCAATTTATGTCACTGTGAGCAAATTTTGATCATTTCTTTAAACTTAATGAATTTTACACAAAAGTTGTTTATAGTAGTTATTATTCTTACAGTGTCTAGGGTCTGTGGTTTTTACCTTGGATTCATGGTTCTAGTGGGTAGCTAGTAACTTTCCTCATCAGGGTACCTAGGGTTTTGCTGACACTATTGACTAACTTTTCTGACTGTTGAAATTACCTGTTCTCCTAATCACTCAGTTGTGTTCATTCTACGGTTTATTTGCTGCTTTGATTTGCTGTTTGACTTCTTTCTTTTATTGAAAATAGTTTTTTTTTTTTCCTCACACAAGATATTCTAATTACAGTTTCTCCTCCCTCTATTCCTTCTAACTCCTCCTCCCCTCCCCTCCAGATCTACCTCCTTCCTATCTCTCATTAGAAAACAAACAGGCCAAGCCTGGCAGTGGTACCACATACCTTTAATCTCAGCACATCCAAGGCAGAGGCAGGTGGATCACTTTGTGAGTTCAAGACCAGCCTGGTCTACAGCGTGAGTTCCAGGATAGCCAAGTCTGGAAACAAAACGAAAAGTAAACAAAACAAACAGGCTTCTACAGGATAATAATAAAAGAAAACAAAACTAACACATCAGAATAGGACAAAACAAACAGAAGGAAAAGAGCCCAAGAAAGCACGTGAAACATGTAGTGACACAGAGACCCACTCATTTTCACATTCCAAAATTCCATAAAAACACCAAACTGGAAACCATAATATATACCCAAAGAACCTGTAGGATAAAAAAGAGAAAAAATACATATAAATAAAATAAAAAGTAATAAAACATTTTTAAAAATGGAAAAATTTGTGGCGCATCATTTTTGAGACAAGGAACCTCCAAAAATGCCATTGCATTCATTTTCTTTCGGCCACCTACTAGTGAACATGCAGCCTACCCTTAAAAGTAGCTTGTTTGCCCAGTGTTCCATTGGAGGAAATTACACTTTCATTTGCAGGTGGTTACCAGTTGGAGATGGCTTGAATAGGGGCATGGGTCCACTTCTTTTAGTTCTAGGACCCCATGTGATGCAGGCCCTACGCATGTTGCCTCAGTCTCTGTAGTATCATTTTTTTTTTTTGAACTTTTGAGATCTTTTTCATTTGAAGGTAATCTTAATGCTATTAAATTCACAAATGCTATTTTTATTACCCAATCCTAATTATCTAAAACACACATTGCAAACATACAAGTATCCATTCTCTCCACATGTCAGTGCCCATTCATTATGGTTTTGGAAATGGGGAGAATAGATTTCCCTTTAAGTTGCAAGTCAGTAGGTGTTTCTTTACAGTTAACTTTAGCAAAATTCATACAAAATAGTAATTAACAATGATCTTCTTTACTGGTTAACTCACAAGGAAACACCTTCAAAACTACATTTTGTTAAAGTTTCTGTACTAAAATGTAGAAAAACTGAACTACACAAATATTGAAAAGTTAAAAATTCCTTAATTTTTTTATTCCTGGTACCACTACCACAATTTACAGGGCAATATACCTGATGTAATGAAAAGAAAAAGAAAAAGACAAAGCTACAACAGATAAAAGACCTCAGGAATGTACATCTAATTGACACTACATTGCATTAATCAATAGCTGCACTTTTTGCAAACTGTGGCTATGACAGTCCTGAACAAGAAGGGTTTCCTGTTTAAGCTGCAGTAACTTTTCTGACTATGGATCATCGTTCCTCCTATGGCAGATTTTTACAGTTCCTCTAATGCATTTGGGACGACTGTCTCAAAGTAACCTGCAGCTTTCCTGACAACTCCTCGCTCTCTCTCCTGCTAAGAACTGTCGCCTTTTCTGCTGTTTTTTTTTTTTTTTTTAAACCTTCTGCTACCATATGTAGGATCATTTTTATGCTAGCCCTGTTGTATCTATAAGGCGTCATATTCCTTGGTGTCCTCCATCCCCTCTGGCTCTTTACACTCTTTTTTTCTTCTTTTTTATATAATTTGCATTTTTTTATATTAATTACAGGTTATTTACTTTGTATCCCAGCTGTAGCCCCTTCCCTCATTCCCTCCCAATCCTACACTCCCTTCCTCATCACCTCCCATGCCCCTCTCTAAGTCCACTGATAGGAGAGGTCCTCCTCTCCTTTCATCTGACCCTAGTTTATCACGTCTCATCAGGACTGGCTACAATGTCCTCCTCTGTGGCCTAACAAGGCTGCTCCTCCCTTGGGAGGTGTGGGGGAGGTCGGGGAGGTCAAAGAGCCCGCCACTGAGTTCGTGTCAGAGACAGTCCCTGTTCCTCTTACTAGGGAAACCCACTTGGATGCTGTGCTGCCGAGGGCTATGTCTTACAATCTTTCATCCTTCTCCCCTTAGGGGAGGGATTTAATAGAGACATCTTTTAGGGCTGTGTGTTCCAAGGTCTCTTACTCTCTGTATAATATCTGGCTGTGGGTCTCTGAATTTGTTCTCATTTGCTGCAGGAGGAAGTTTCTCTGATGATGACTGTGTAATGCATCAATTCATATGAGTATGGTAGACTATCATTAGGAGTTATTTTATTGGTTAGTTGGTTTGTTTGAGACAACTTTTACTGTGTAGCTCAAGCTGGCCTTGAATTCACAGAGATCTTCCTGCCTCTGCCTCTGAAGTCCTAGGATTAAAGTGTGTGGGCTACCCACCACCTGGCTCTCTCCATATCTATCTATCTATCTATCTATCTATCTATCTATCTATCTATCTATATTTTTAATCAGTAATATATGTATTTATACCAGTAGTATTTGGTTTTACCGTAGGTCATTGAGTTATCTAGTCTCAGGTTCTTGGTCGCCCAAGCAGTGTTGGATTTTCAGTCAAATCAGATGTTGGTCAGTTACTCCAACAAACTTGTGCCACTGTTTCATTAGCATAGATATCTTGTAGGGAGGATACCATTATTTATACAAGGTTTTGTGTCTGGGTTGGTGTTTACCTTTCTCTTGGAACTTTTTTAGTGAAGCATTTGAAAATGGTAAACACTACATGAGTGATATCCCACAAATTTTTATATGGAAATTTTAATTTGTATTCAGTTCAACATATTTTCTTTTAACATTTTTTATCTGAGTTGTGGGTTACTTAGTATTTTCTTTGCAAAAACTTTTTTTTCTTTTTTAAGATTTATGTGGGGTTTCAGTCTTTTGCTTTGGGTTTCTGCGTTAATAGTGTTGTGGTTAGAAGACAAACTTTCTGTGATTTTAACTGTGTCAGTTATGTAGCTCATCTTACGTGTCAGTTATGTAGCTCATCTTACATTTCTATTTTATTTTGAGTTTTTTTATGAACAGTCCAAGTGAATTTGTTAAGAATGTGCCCCGTAGCTGAGCACAGTGGTGCATGCTTTTAATCCCAGCACTTAGGAAGGCAAAAGCAAAAGGATCACTATGAGTTCCAGGCCATCCTGGTCTACAAAGCTAGTCTAGGACAGCCAAGGCTACATAGTAAAACCCTAAATCAGAGAAAAAAAAAAAAAAAATGAATGTGCTCTACTGCATGTTCTATGTGTTGCTTAGGTCAGATTGTTGGATGTCTCTGAAGTTTTTCTAGATCCTTGTATCAGTGTTCTGTCAGTCACTGAGAATAGAGTATTGAAATATTTAATGTTAATTTAAAAACACATATTACTTAAATATTAATGAAATTAGGAGGTTGCAATGATAAGGTAGTTAAGCAGTGTGTCTTGAATGGTGGAGCACATTTGACTTTTTCAAGTTTTGCACACTAACTCTCACCGTAATTCCTGCTGTTTTTTACCCTTCTGAGCTTGCCTTCTTTGGTTTAACAGAAGTGATACAAACTTCTCGAAGTGCTTATGATGATTTGATAAGAAAACCTGCTGAATTCTTAACATAATACCGGGTGTATAGTTATTCTTAAATAGGAATTATTTTGTATATTTTAAGTTCTTGAACTTTGTGTACTTTTCAAAATTGCAAGTTACAATGCCAGATATGTGTTTTAGTATTATTTTTCTTTTTATTTGTTAATTTTTTAATTTCACTTTTGGTCGTTACCGTATCTTTCACCATTGCTTTTGTATGCTATTATTACTGAGAATATTTTCAGAGCTTTTAGCTGAGTGTAGATTGCCTTGTTTATATTAGAGTTTTGTTTTCTTTCTTGATATAATTTACCTACCTTGCAATAAAATACTAACGTTCAGAGGGTATGAACAATACATAGATTTTTCTGGAGCTATTGCTCCAGAAAGTTACCTGTCTGTCTGAAACAGATTGTTTTTCTCTTCCAGATCAACCGAGAAAGCTGGTGTACCATTGAGCCATGCCCTGAATCAACATCTCTTTTAGCTTCCAAACAGAGCTCAGGTAGGCATGTTCATAGTCCTGCTCTATAAGAAATAATCTGATATTATGATATAGCATTCCAGAGTGCATTATACACAAACCAGGTAGGTAGGTAGATACATACATACATACATACATACATACATACATACATACATGCATGCATGCATGCATGCATACATACAGAGAATTTTGTAAGCATATGATTTCACAATTGAAATAAAAGCAGAAGAGGTTTCCTTAATTTTGTTTTAGGAATTATTAGTAATTTTAGTGATTATAAGGCTATGATTTGTTAATCATTTGTAAAGAAATCTGGTCATGTAAAATTACAAATGAATCTTTCTGGGGACCCAACCTATGGTTCTTATGTTGTCTGTGTTGATGCAGAAACAAAATAACAGAAGCTATAAACCTCAAAGGGAATAAGAAATAGTGTCTTCTAGAGCCAAATTTAAGTGACCATAGCCCAGGAACATGGATTTAGTATACCCCAAATTCCATGTTCCAATGTAGAAGTTTCATAAAAATTTTAAAACAATAAAACATAAAAATTTGTAAGTGAAGACACCTTTTAAGAAACCTCAGAGAGGTGGCTACAGCAAGATGGCTGATGCTCTGCCATAAGCCTCAAATGTCATCTGATGATTATTTTAGCTTTGAGGTTGGTGGGAAGTAGTAGTCTGCTTTGTTTCTAGATTTCAAAAGATTTGTATGTGTTCATCACATGATATTAGTTTCAACATAGAGGTGGACAAGGAATGGCTATTCCAGGGGCTAAAGCTAACCTGGATAAGGTAGTTAATCTCTGGACCTGTGGTATTCCAGCTTCCACCATATGACTGCAGTCCTAATCAGTGTCTTTGCAGACACAGCTTCTTCCCAGGAAATCTCATTGACAGCTGCGTACTGGAATCATATAGGCAAGAAAGCTTTGAAAACACGTGATGCCTTGGTCTTGCCCTTAGCGATTCAGATTTATTGGGCAGGGATGCAGCATGGACATCCACTAAAATCCTTTAAAGCTCCTGTTGTCCTGAGTAGGTAAAACTGAGAAGTGTCAGGAGTCTTCCTTACATGCTCATGACAAATTAGTAACAACAAATAGAGTTACGATCTTACCTGATAATTACACTAGGTAGGAGTCCTAACTTCACCCCATGTTCAACCAATTCTGACATAAGATACATTCCCCAGTGTCCGGGTTCCACTGTCTTCCATCTGTAAAGTGTTAGTAGTTGCCTCACCAGGGGGTGTTGCGCAGCCATCCGGTTGAGTGACCATCTTTGAATTCACTCCTGCGCTGGTTTCTAAGCTGCCAAGTGAGCAAGAGTACTTTGCAGTTTTGAGTTCTCCAGTCTGCTTCACCAACAAAGCCTCCATTTATTGTTCCTGTTTTCACTAATCTGCTCTAGAAATTATCAAATCCTTCTCATTGGCTGACTTTTTTAAGAACAGCTTAGCTGTAGGTGTCTTGCAGCAGTATTTACATCAAGAATAGATTATCCTAGTCTTTTATACCCTGAGAGATTTCCTGCCCATTCTCAACTCTGGCTGTATTACAAAGGAAATATTAAAGCAAATATAGAAAGTGTTTTCTTCTGTATTTTTCATACTCTTTGAGAGTGCTGTTTCAGAATATTATGTTATGCTTGTATTCAGGGCCTGCAAATTCAAAGGTGTTGGAAGTAAAAGTATACCCACTCCTATGTTTTGGTTCCTTTAGCTATTAGGGTCTTTTCTGAAAGTATAACCAGCCACAAAAGAATGGAACTTCTGCCAAGTGGTTATTGAGTGAAGTCTTGGACTTTGAATATTCAGAATATGGAAGGACTTCTGGACATGGCTCAACTTACTCCTTTAAGGAACTGGGTTTGAAGAGTAGTCTTTGTCGTGTCAGAATTGTGTGGATTGTCGAAGTAGCTTTTTACACTTTTAACTTTCAGAATAAGCAGTGTGGTCACACGTTCAGGCTCAAGGAGGCTTGGATGTGTCACATACTGCAGTGTGCTGTACGCCGGTTAGTTACTTCATTTCTAATTTACTCTTCCCTGTCCGTGTGACTCTTTACTATTGTGGGAACCACCCCATTTTACTGCTTTAGAAGTGAAGATCTACAGGCTTAAATTACATGGCATTTTTCTTTTAAGCAAGATCCATCTAAGCATTCGAAAATCGGTGTCCTTTGCCCTTTTTACACTTTGTATTTTAATATATTTCACTTAATTCATTAGGAAGGGAGTGTAGGAAGGAAGGAAGGATTCTTTTTTTTTTTTTTTTAATGTCCCAGCACATGTGACATGGATGTACATTAAGTTTTCCTTTAGGGATCCCTACAGCTGATGAAAGTCATGGTGGACTGGTAATGATTTATGATTGTTCTCTTCTTGTATTCCCATTTTCCCTCCATATTATTCTTTCCTCCAAATAGCCAGTTTGATCTCACACATTAACCTCCTCTTATCCCAAACTTGGTTTGTAGCCTTGTGCTAACTTGGCTTTATGTTGAGGGTGAGCTACTCCTATCAGAGCAGAATCTGTGTATTTTTCATGAAAACATATTGTGTGGGTTTCTTTCTAGGCTGGCATTTAGACACAGTCGTTAAGTTGCCAGCTTGCCCTCCAGCAGCTCAGCATAGTTGCTGTGTCAGCCCTTTCTTTTCTTTAGCCAGCGCCTCCATTTTCCCCTCAATCACAACATGGAGTTTTAGGGGGGTTTCCAAGCAGTAAAAGGGGCAGGTATAGAAATATCACAAACCCACCCGCTGTACTGTTGTTGTGTACTGTATAGAATGGGGGAAAGGCGTAGAATACCTATCATTTAAGGTCTTTTCATACTATTTCCATACAGCCAACATTCTGAAATTATCTGTTAAAACCATAATTGTGACCGAAAAGATTTAAGATTAACTCATAGATCCTGCCTTACTTGTTATGTGTTCTTTATATAATTCTGCAATGAAAATATCTCTTAATGTGTTCATTTGTACCACAAGATTATGAATAACCCATTTTGCAAGCATACACTAAAAGTCTTCTCAGAACCTAGCCAAATACCCAACAGAAAAATTAGTAACGTAAAAATTGTAATTTTACGTTACAATTACAGTTATGTAATTGTAAAAGCAACTAGTTAGACTGTGTCCTTTCTAACTGTAAATATCTAAAATGGGAGAAAGGCTGGGAAAGCAAAGAGGTAGGTGAACAATAGAGAAAATGACTGAATGTTGTTATGAAACAGAAAGTGGCTTTTAAAAAAAATAGCCATTGATTAAATAAATGTTCTTTTTCAGAATGTGAAAGCTTCTTAGATGTTGGACTGGGCACAGAATGTACCTCAAAAGAAGCTGTGCTTCAGAGAGAATCGGGGAGTGATTCTGAGCTCTTTCACTCACCCAGTGATGAAATGGACAGCATCATCTTCTCAAAGGTACTGGATGAACCTTCTTCTCATTTTTGACCAGCTACTCACCTAGTCTCATTTGGCCCTACTTAACCCTCTTTTCTGTGATTTTCCCTTTGTGCTGATTGTCATCCCATAACTTTAATACACAACTCTAGTTAGTGGACTGTAATCCAAATAGGCCATGTATTCTGAATGACTTTGGGGGTCTTATTTTGTCTTTCCCGCCTGGTTTTTCCTCCATCCCTCCCTCTCTTCTCTTTCTAAGTGTCAACAAACAACCTTGCTGGATCACTCACAGAGGCATGTAAGTGTTCTATTAAAAGAAGGAATTGCCAGGGCTTAGAAAAGGGCATTGGCCGTGTTTGCCAGATTTATTTTCTGAAAAATCATGACTGGTTACATGAGGAGTTTGAAGCTTGCATTGAAGTCAAAAGGCGTGGGAGTTCCTTTAGAATGAACTAAGTCAGATGACAGTGAACACCCTTCAGTGGTTAGGAAAGGACCACAGCTCAGACTGTATGATGTCATATATATAAACTAACCATAGAGTCATTCTGATTAATGTGTGGATGCCTGAAACTCCCTGCTAAGCCTGGTGAAGTCATCTTTCATCCAGACTGCTTAATTGGAACTTTTTACCTCTATGGTAGAGAACTTGAGATTTTTCTCTAGCAAAGAGCTAGGGAAGATGGAGATTGGGAAGCTTGGGTTTGTTTTTGTTTGCAGCAAGTTCTGTTTTGTTCTTTAAGAGTGAAGACCTTTCTCACAGCAGAGAAGGCAGGTCAGGCTATAGTCAGTTAAATGCTGCAAGTGGTTTTCCTAACAGTGAGGACTGAAGGGGCAGAAATGTTGTAGCAGCTTGAAGAAGAGTCTTCCTTATTTTATAACTTTGAAGAAGTGCTAAGAGCAGTTTTGGTAGTGGAAGATTAAACTCTCCCAAGACAGTGTGATGTTCCCATGTCTAACTGTTATGGTAGAGGAACAATGTCACAAAATTTTAGAATTCTCGTCTTTTCGTTTTTGTCCATCAGCCCTCATCTCCCATTTGCTCTTCCCTAACCTTTTTGCCTTGTTCCTTTGATTGTCTTCTGAAGGGTCTTGGAAAGATTTATGGTGCGACTTTAGGATTTCTATCTTGTCATGCTTGTCAGACATGGTGGTACATGCCTATAATCCCAGCACTTGGGAGGCTGGGGTAGGAGAACTCTGAACTTGATGTAGTAATTGGCCCAGTCTTCCAGGGTTCAAGAAGGGAAGATTTGCCTTTGAAGTTACATAGGAAGAAGAAAACCAATGTTGGTTTGTGGATTTTTTTTGTTTTTGTTTTACCTGCCTGCCTTCCTCCCACATTCCCTTCCTTTTCTTCCTAATCTTATAACAAATACATTTTTAAAATTACATTTCTGGGGAGAAGGGATATATGCCTCAATGCTAGTATAGAAGTCAGGTTAAAAATTCTAGCTTTAAAATTGTCTTATAATGACTGGAGCTGGGTAATGAATACGTAAGAGATTATCACATAATTATATATGCCTGTGCATCCTAATAATAAAAAGGTCTTAAGATTTTTTTTTTTTTTTATGTCTAAGGGTGTGTAGCACAGGGTGGGGATGAGGGCTGCTCTTAGCAGGTGTTGGATCTCCTGAAGCTGGAGTTAAAAATTGTGTGCAATGCCAAACATGAATTCTGGGAACTCTGGTTCTTTGGAAGAGCAGCATAGGCTCTTAACTGCTGAGCAATCTCTCCAGCTTAAGTTTTGTTTTTTAAGTTGAATAATCTTTCTTCAGGAAATATTTGCTTGCCTATCTCTTAATATATAACATGTGAATAGTTTGTTCCTGGTGTACCCTCTGCGCAGAGAGATAATTTTTTCTGATCACTAAATTTCATGGTTTGCTTACCAAAAACAAAACAGACAAACAAATGAAAACCAAAAAAGCAGAACTTTCTGTACTTTACCATCTTACTCAACCTGCTAAAAGCATGCAGAAGGTACTTCATGAAAAGGACCTTTGCTAGATACTGCACATTTTTTCAAGGAAGATTAGATAATTTTTTTTTTTAAAGCTGAAGCATACACCTCGGACAAACTTCCACCTACATTGTAAACTGGAGTGCTTAGAGAAAGGCCAAGCAGGGTGGATGAACTTTTACCTCTTCATGCATGCATGAGAATGTCCAGATGGCCTGGGACCAGGTCAGGGTGGGGGTAGGGATGTTTCTTCCTTTTGTTCTTCCAAAGCAGTGAATGATCAGGAGTCCTTGGAATAACTAATTTTTCCATCATTGATAAAAGTCAGTACTAGTTAATAATAAAGCACCAACCTGAATTTTTTTTATGTTATGTTTATCTCATTTCATATGTCCAACAATCAGATAGGTAGTTTTGTCCCTTCAACCATACAAGAAATACAGGTTTTGATTGGTGTGCTAGCTAGTTTTATGTCCACTTCACCCAGGATAGTATCATTTGAGCAGAGAGAACCTCAGTTGAAAAAATGTCCCCTACAAGATTGGCCTGTGGCCAAGCCTGTGCTTCAGTTTTTTAAAGTGTTGATTGATAGGGAGGAACAAGGTCACTGTGGGTGGGGCCACCCCTGGGCTGGTGGGCCTGGCTGTTATACAGAAGCAGGCTGAGCAAAGCCTGTAGGCAGCACTCCTCCGTGGCCTCTGTTATCAGGTCCTGCCTCTTGATTCCTGCTCTGTTGTAGTTCCTGCCATGGCTTCTCACAGTGTTAGACTGTTACGTAGATGCAAAGTGAAATAAACTCTTTCCTCTCCAAGTTGCTTTTGGTCATGATGTTCTATCACAGCAATAGAAACTCTAAGACAGTTGGTAAACAAGTTTGTCTAAAATGACTGGAAAACCGAATAACAGAACTGAGATTTGCAGTGAGGCTTGACTCTCAAGTTTCTTCCTGTTCTGTCACATTGCTTTCAGTTTCTTCAGTATAACTCTGAAAACCAGTTATTTAAGTCAAGACTACCTTGGTAGACAGACCACCAGCTCTGCTTTCTTAAAGTCATTCCTCTGGCTGTTTCTGCGGTGTGTGCTCTGCAGTGTTACTTACAGTGTCTTCCCAGGGCCTTGTGTTCTTCTCTTTCAGTCTTTTGGGGGTTGGAGGGAGTCTTTAGGCAAGCCATTGCAACACACTTTTCTGCGAACTGTGAGTGGTATATTAGGTCACTTCCTGCAGGCATTCATTTATCTCTGGCCCTTAAGAGGTCTCTTTAACAGCATGCACCTCCTGGGAAATGTGATTCTTTGGTGAGTGTTAAGAGCTTCATGTTTATTCTTACAAATATTTTCTGGTTCCTAAGGTCATTTATAGATCAGCAACGTAAAAGTTGTACTTTGTTTTTAAAGTGAGACAAAATCCTGTTACTCATTTTGGGCTTAGCTGAGAAAGAAAGTATGTAATCGTAAAATATAGTTGGTGTCATTCACGCTACATAAAAAGATTACATGATTTGGGGCATGTGATGAGTGAGCTGGTGTTTTTCAAGACACTAGTGTGTTTTCTATAAAATACAAATAAATGCTTGTTGAGTAAATGAAGGGCTATTCATTCAGCAGTATTAAACATGATCCCTTCAGGTATACTAACAATATATAAAATGTGTGGCAGTTTTGTCTTTCTTATGTTTAGCAATATAATGCTTATCTTTATGTAGATACATGTATAAATATATATAACTTTTTAAGAAAGCTAAATAGGTTACCCCCTCATGCCATATTATAAAAACACAGGTAAAAGAATAGAATTTTTCAATTTTGCAGGGAGCATCCATACACTTACCTTCCAGTTGCTGTCATTTTTAATTATGTTTACTTACTACATAGCTGTGTTCTGCTTATACCAGTCTAGCTAAATTTGATCAAAAAAAAAAAAAAAATTACAGGTATGCCCATAGGCATCATACATAAATTCCTTAGAATCATTTTTTTAGTAGTTGATGGATTTGGAGGGAGATAAATATATATAATTTATATAAAAATTCAGTTACTTTGGGTTTGTTTGTGTGTGTGTGTGTGTGTGTGTGTGTGTGTGTGTGTGTGTGTGTAGCTTTGGCTGTCTTAGAACTCCCTCTATAGAACAGGCAGCACTGGAACTCATAGAAATCTAGCTGCTTCTGTCTCCTGAGTGTTTGGATTAGCTCTTTCTTTCTTTCTTTCTTTCTTTCTTTCTTTCTTTCTTTCTTTCTTTCTCTTTCTTCCTTTCTTTCTCTTTCTTCCTTTCTTGTTTGTTTGTTTGTTTGTTTGTTTGTTTTGGAGACAGGGTTTCTCTGTGTAGCCAGGCTATCCTGGAACTCACTCTGTAGCACAAGATGGCCTCAGACTCAGAATTCTGCCTGCCTCTGTCTCCCAAGGTGTGCACCACCACCACCTGGCTGAGTTGCTTTTGATAAACACATTTGCCTGGAACTGCATGAGCACGTAGACTATGAGCATAAGTCTTTTTATATGACATCCCTTCTCAGTGACCATTCAGCCCTCCAGAAGAAACAACAACAAGATTCTCCACCACAGATATTTTCTCTGATAGAAAGTCATATAAGTAGATTTAAAGAATATCATTTCTCCTGTACAACCCTAGGAGTGGGATTTAAATTTGTAGTCATGCAAGAAACAGACTGTCTCACAAACTGGCCTTCTAACTAGTGTTCTCACTAGTGATGTATAAGACTACCAGTTACTCTCCATCCTTAGTAACAAACACAGTTGTTTTACTGTTTCTGGTATCCATGCAGTGTTATCTCATTATGGCTTTGATTTGTATTTCCTGACAACTAGTGATATTAAACAGATTTTCACGTGTCCTTTGGCAGCTCATGTGTCTTCCTGTATGGAGCATCTGTGCATATCTTTGCCCATTAAAATAATTGGATTATTTGTTGTTACCAAGGAGTGGATGATATATATCCTGGATACTGCTTCTTTATTAGATTCATGACTTGCAAATACCTTCTCTCGTATCACTTGCCTATTGTATCACAGTGTCTTGGTTAGTTAAAATTTCTAATTTGATAAAGTATAATTTAATAGATTCTTTTCTTACTGCTTGTGTGTCCTCCCCTGATTTTTTTTCTTTCCCCCTATTGCTGTTTTGCTTTAAGGAATTATAGTTTTGGCTTTTATTTTCAGGACTAAGATGTATCTCACTATTATATTGGTAACTGTACCAACAGCTTCATATATCTAGTAGGATTCACCCCGAGCTATTTTTAAGATCATCTAAAGAGCTTAAAAAGTGGGGAGGAAACACCTAGCTCTGCCAGCTGAATAGTAAAATTAGAGTCTTGAGGTAACCTGTTTTCTCATCTCTAAAGTGGAAATTTTAGAGGTCATGTTTCAGTGAGAACAAACTTAGAATAAGTAAACCTCAGAAAATAATCACAGCACTCACTGGGGAAGAGTCTCTGTTGAGGATACAGTCTTGTCAGATTTTTGCCTTTTTAAAAATGTATGTGGAAGCTAGAAAGAATGCTCAGTGGTTAGGAACATTGACTGCTCTTCCAGAGGACCTGGGTTCATTCCCTAGCACCCACATGGTGACTCACAGTCATCATTACCTCCAGTCCTAGAGGATTTTGTGTCCTCTTCTGGCTTACATGGGCACCAGGCATGCATGTTGTACACAAACATACATGCAGGCAAGACACCCATATATATAAAATAAAAATAATTTAAAAAGAGATGATGTATTATGGCAACAGGTCACAAATTTTTCTCACTTTTGTTTTAATATTGTACCAAAAGATAGATACTTGAGTTTGACTTGTTTGGGATTGGAGACTGGGAATATATATAGTTCAAGGGCGGAATGCAGGACTGGCATATGTAGGGCACGTGCACACACACACCAACCACCAAGAGTATGTTGGTGGATGGCACTATTTTATTTCTTCAAGAAACATGTTGTTGTTGATGTTAGGTTTTTGCTTTTTTTTGTTTTTGTTTTTTTTTTGTTTTTGTTTGTGTGTGTGTGTGTGTGTGTGTGTGTGTGTGTGGCCATGGAGAGATGGGTCAGTGGCTAAGAGCACTGTCTGCTCTTCCAGAGGTACTGAGTTCAATTCCCAGCAACCACATGGTGGCTCACAACTACCTATACTGGGATATGATGTCCTCTTTTGGCATGCAGGTGTACATGCAGTCAGAGCACTCATAATAAATAAATCATTTAAAATTTTTATATATTTTTAATTCTTTATTAATTACACTTTTTTCACTTTGTATCTCCCCTGTGGTTCCCTCCCTCCTCCCGTCCCAATCCCTCCTTTCCTCCACCCTCTGCATGCATGCCCCTCCCCAAGTCCACTAATAGGGGAGGTCTTCTTTTCCTTCCTTCTGATCCTAGTCAATTAGGTCTCATCAGGAGTGGCTGCAGTGTCTTCTTCTGTGGCCTGGTAAGGCTGCTTCCCCCTCATGGGGAGGTAAAGAGCAGGCCAATCAGTTCATGTCAGAGACAGTCCCTGTTCCTATTACAATGGAACCCACTTGGATACTGAACTGCCATGAGCTACATCTGTGCAGGGGTCTTAGGTTATCTCCATGCATAGTCCTTGGTTGGACATCAGAAGAAGGAGAAAAGAGGGAACAAATAAGGAGCCTGACACAGAGGACCTCTGAAAGGCTCTGCCCTGCAGACTATCAATGCAGATGCTGAGACTTATGGGCAACCTTTGGGCAGAGTGCAGGGAATCTTAGGAAAGAAGTGGGAAACAGTAAAATCTGGAGAGGACAGGAACTCCACAAGGAGAGCAACAGAACCAAAAAATCTGAGTACAGGGGTTTTCCCTGAGACTGATACTTTTTAAATTTTTTTAAATGTCCTTTTTAGTCTAGGTACCAAGTGACAAAGTACCTGTTATTCTAACCAAGAGTCATTTCCATGCTAGAAACAGCCATCTTGTAAAGAGTGTGATAAATAGAAGCTTTAACTCAGAACTTTTGTTTCCTACTGTGCTCTTCTTTAGTGTTTTAACTCAAGCTATCCTGAAATTTCCGGTCTTCCTGCTTTACTTCCAAGATTACAGGTTGTGCACCATTATGTTCCACTAATGACTTTATTTTACTCTTGAGTCGTAGGATTTACCTAATGAGCTAGTTTTATTTTTCCTGAACTAGTGAAGGGATTCCTCAATATAGACATCAAGATCTTGCTGTCATAGGTTTTTAAAAGGTGATTGAAATAACACAATACTAGGTCTTGTGAGTCAAAGTAGCTTGGATTCAAGTCTTGATCTGTCAGTGTCTTCTCTCTCTATTCATCTCAGACTTTATTTAAAAAGCAATTTAGGAAATTGGATTTTTCTGAGTGAAGGTAGGCTGAAGCCCAAAAAGGTATAAAGGTGCCTTTCACAGGTGGTGGTGTGCTTCTGGTTATAAGTGTTGTATATCCTTTAAAAAGACTCTTTAGTTCAGAGCTGTTTTCCATTCCAAAGCTGGAAGAATGCATTAGTTTCTTGTGAGTTTTAATCTTTCTTTTAAAAATTATATGTCTTCACTTTTTTGCTACATTTTATTTATTAAATTATTGTGTGTTTGCATGGATGTGTGTGCCATGATATACTTATGGAGGTTAAAGAACAATTTGTAGAAGTTACTTCTCCTTTGAGTAGTTTTATCAAAGCCCTGCACCAAAGTCTGGGCTTGGCGTCACACATTTTTATCCCAGTACTCAGGACATAGAGGGGCTCTGTGTGACATTAAACTTTGTGAGTTTAAGGCGGGTCTAATCTACATAGTGAGTTCCAGGACAGCCTGGAAAACAGGAAAGCCTGTTTTAAAGATTTTTCTTAATGTCACCAGATGTCTTGATTAGGAATTATTGTGAAAAAGGGAAAAAAAATTCTGCATGCCTTTACCTATTTCCCTGTTCCTTGCCTAGTGTGAGACCAAAATAGAATATGAAATGAAGCTAATCTCGCCTTCACTTATCAATCATATTGGTGCCTCTCAGTAAACAAAGATGCCATGCTACTAGGACGAGGTTTGCATAATTCCTCTTAGGTACTAGAGGTTAGCCAGAGAAGAAACATTGTCACCTTATCAAAGGCCTTATTTTCAGGATTATTTTACCTTAATAAAGCCTTATTTTCAGGATTATTTTATGTGATTTGGCTTCAGAACATTCAACCAATTCTCAGTGATGTGAGAAGCAGTAGTGTTCTTTATGTTCTTACAGCAAACTTTTGGTGAAATTAAAAAGATTAGGCAGTTTTCAGAAGTAAACAGCAGTCATACTTGGCTTAGGAATAGTAAATTCTCAACCGTATTGTAGCTGTGCAGGCTGGCTTGTTTCAGTTAAACCTTTGAAACATAGTGTGATAAGAGCTTAGAGTTTCATAAAACAGAAACCCTAGGGACTAATGGTTTTCTTCTTTTCAGTTGATGATGGTGGGCTGAATGAACTAACTAGGAATTGTTTTTCTTCACTAAAAAGAAAAAGTAATGGGTCTTCTATAGTCTGGTACCTTTACTAAAATGACAGAGATATAGAACATTCTTCTATTGCAGTGGTCCTCAACCTTCCTAATACTGCGACCCTTTAATACAGTTGCTGTATTAAACTGTGGTGACTCCTAAAAATAAAATTGCTTTTGTTGCTACTCCGTAATTGTGATTTTGCCACTGTTCGGAATCATAATGTAAATATTTTTGGAGGTAGAGGTTTGAGAAAGGGGTCACAACCCACAGGTTGAGAACTGCTGCTCTATTGGAAGCCAGGGGACTTAGAATCTAACTGTAGTCAGAGACTTAAAAAAAAAAAAATCAGCTTAAAGTCAATTATTAGTCTTGCCTGTGTCCAATCAACTATGAAACATTGACTTAGTCTGTGAGAACAGGGTATCTGTTTGGCTCTGTTGGTTCAACTCTGTGTGCTCTCTCTATTCTAGCCTGAGGAAGAACAGTTGCTTTGTGATATAACAGGATCCAGTTCTTCAACAGATGACACAGCTTCCCTGGATCGACATTCTTCTCATGGCAGTGATGTGTCCCTTCCTCAGACTTCAAAGTTAAACAGGTTCAGAAATCATCAAAGTTCCGATGGCTTTTTAAACCATGGAGCAGGGCCTGAGAGTCGAGAGAGTGAAAGTGAGCCTACTGGCTCTGGCGAAATGGAGGAGGAGGAGATGGACAGCATCACTGAAGTGCCTGCAAATCGTTCTTTTCTGAGAAGCTCCATGCGCTCTCTTTCCCCTTTCCGGAGGCATAGCTGGGGACCTGGAAAGAATGCAGCCAGCGATGCAGAAATGAACCAGCGGAGGTAAGTTGGGAGCCTATGTGTTTCATAGCTCAGTGTTTGTTCTCTTCTGAGAAGTGTCTGGATTAGCATTGTTACTGATTAAAAAAAAAAACCTCAGGCGACACTGTGGTAGAGAAAAGGTAACCCAGGCTTTGAAACCAGGCAGATGTGCATTCTGACTGCAGCTCTATAACTTCATTTTAGATGATGGGTAAACACTTGAGCAGTATAAGCTTTAATTTTCTCATCTGTAAAATACTTCAGTATTTTTGTGATAACATAAACTATTACTATCACATAGTGAATATTTAATAAATGATAAGGCTTCTTACCTACCAGGTTAATCACTGAAGTTCATGAATCTGGAAGAGAGAATTCTGTAAATTTTTAATTAAGTAAATATGAAATCTTATAGTCTTAACCACATCTAAGAGGTTTGGTGTTTTCTGAGAGTAAAACCATATGTTTCTTATGTAGAAATTTGATAAAGTCTAAATAGTCAATGTGTAGTTCTCAAGATGGCACAAGACTCATGTCATACACTGAAATTGTTATTTTTCTGTGTGTCACACAGCTTGGGGATATTTACAAGTAATGCCCAGCGTTAGTCCTTCAATTTGGCAGCAGCCTATAAGAAGTTGGCTTCTGACCTGACTGTTTTAATTCTACAAACCAAATACTTTAACAGGTTACAGTGTGCCTGCCCCAGGGCCACTTTAACTGCCTAAAGAGATGCTCCAGCTACAGTTGCTTTTTTTCCCTCCTCACTGCATTATGGCTATTAGTACGTGTAATCTTAATCACAGTTATCACTTTTTTTTTTTTTTTGAGACAGTCTCATGTAGACAAGGATAGCCTGAGTGTCACTGAGTAAGCTAGGATGAGGATGGTCTTGGACCCCTGATGTTCCTGCTTCCACCACCCAAGTATTAAGATAACAGGCATGCACCACCATATACCCAGATCTTCGTTTGTTCTTTTAAATTTTTTAATGTGTATGAGTATCTTAACTGAATATGTGTCTGTACCATGTGTGTGCCTAGTGCCCAAGGAGGACATCGTATCCTCTAGAACTGGAGTTACAGACAGCTGTAACTGTAACCATACGGTGAGCCATCATATGAGTGCTGGGAATCAAAACCAGGTCCTCTAGAAGAATAGCTAGTGCAGTGAAGTACTGAACCATTTTCCGGCCTTTCGTTTATTCTTTTAATCAGCCAGCACACATTAAACTTTTTTTTATGTCTGGCAGTGTCCTATGTTCTGGAAAAACAGATAAAAATGATATTAGTCCCTGGCCTCACAGAGCTCAGAATCAAACTCTGTACTTCACTGGTTTGCTAGTTTTTTTCAAACTCTTTGTGGCACATTGTCTTACATTGTTTTTTAATCTCAGTGGTTCAAGTCTTATTTTTCCCATAGTGGCAGAATGGAAGACTGTTGCAGACAGTTTACATCATCTACAGTAGAGTCCTGGTTTCAAGTCTCAGTCAAGTCTTTGTACAATTCCATATTATTCCATGGTATGAGGATAGTAATCTAAAAAAACAAGCAGTGCTCTTTATCTTGCTGTATTGTGTTTATATACTTTTGACATCTCAGATTATATAAAAACTAATTTCTAAAGGCTTTCCTTCCCAGCTTTATTCATACTGTTTCCTTTTAAAGCATTTGTACAGACATGAGGAATGATCCTCATACGCAGAAAGTACTCCCTGAAGCCTGAGTAACTTCTTGATAGGACATGTTTGCCTTAGATGGTGAAGGACTGATGAGAGAATAGGTGTTTATTTTACAAGTATCCATTCTTCTACATAACTCACTCTAGATCTGTTTGTAATGACAGATTGCAGAGATCTGTATGTTTGAATCATGTAGCTCAGATGAAGACATTGAGGTCAGATTTAATGACTTGCCCAGGATTACAAGGTGATCTTAGACTTGTTAGCTATTTGTATTTTAAGCCTGTATATCATCTGTTTGCACTAGTGTAAAGGATTATCTACTGCTGTCTTAATATCTTGAGATACAATGCAGTAGTTTTATCACTTTAGTAGTTTGACTAATTTGTGTATTATTGTTACCTGAATTTTAAAGCCTGAAGAAAACCCTTTTGAATGTTTAGTGTTTTAATGGCACATATACTCTCACAACTTATACTAATCTTCATTACTTGTCATCCAATTAACTACTTGGAGTACAGAGGAAACAGAAGCGACCTTTTTGTCAGGTTTGGGGTACTGATTTTTTGTCATTTCATTCTTTCAGTCTCTTTTCTCCTGTGCTATTTGTCTTTGGGAATTATGTTTCTTCCCAGTGTGATCTCTGTTTTGTGCATTTGTGTATCATTGTAGTTCACCTCCATTACTGACCTCTTCCATCATTCATTTTCAGTTCAATGCAAGTTCTTGGGCATGTTGTCAGGAGACCTCCCATTCATAGGAGAAGGTACAGAGTTCACTAAATTGAACTAACCATGTCATCTCTGAGCATGTACTAACAAGCATCTCATCTGGTTACCAAGATTGGACAACATTTTTAAACATTTATTTCTGGTTCAGGCAATAAAATATAGGTGCCTATTAATTGCTATGTCCACCTGACAGGAAATATAAACTAAGTCCCTTTTTCTAGTCCTAAATTTATAACATGCACACCCACTTGCTGGCTCAAATGACTTTGTGTAGGAGAATTCAGGTTTTCTTCCATATTGTATATAGCTCATGGACTTTGGGAGATATTTTTCTTCTCTCTGTCTCCAGAAAAGAGAAAGAGACAAGAAAAAGAATACCTTAAAATACATTTGTGCTTATTCACACATAGGTTCTAAAATATTTTTAATTCATTCTTGAGTAATATGAAGAAAGATTTTTGTTAGCTAGCCACCTGGTAATATTTTCAGAAAGCAATCTGGCATAAGCTGAGACCTATTTTTGAACTGCTTTATTATTATTATTATTATTATTATTATTAAGCAAGTAAAAAATGAAGCTAATATTTTTAAGCTAAGAAGTTGTTTTTATTTAAAACATGCTCAATTGCTTCATGTTTTAAAAACTTTTGTAGAGCTTTTATTGCGTTTTCTTCCATTCTTCCATTTAAAAAATCATTTTCAAATGTATCCTTCTTTAATTCCATATTTTATGGGAAATTTTGATCTTAAATTCTTACACTTTTATGAACCTCAAATGGTCAAGGTATTGGGTTCTTCAGGAGAACAAATTCTTAAATGCCTTTCTCAATAGGTAGTATCTAAAACCTCTGTGTATTTGTTGTTCTCTCTGGTAAATGCTCTTCATTGTGAACTAACTGTAGCACACACCTGATTACATAGTGAAGGATGACAAGCCACTGCCTGCAGCCCACACCGTACATATCAGAGCCATGCTTTGAGCTTACAATGCAACCGAAGTGAAAAATATTTTTGTAGGAAGAACATGACTTATAACCTTAAAACTTATGAAATTAAAACATCCCAACAAGTATTAAAGAAGATTGTTCTCCAAAATAAACTGGACTTCCTAAGTTTCAAAGCCAAAGAACCTTACGATTTTGGAGACTCTCAGAAATGCACTTTAATTATGAAAGTAGCCAGGGAAGGCTTAGATCATTTGCAACTTGCTGGATCCTGTGAAGCCTATGAGCTATTTTTTTTTTTTTTTTTTTTTGGTTCTCCTGTTCTGCATCTTATATGTTTTTCACAGCATTCTCATAGTCTCAGAGTTAAGAAGATATTTAAAACTCTACAAAGAGATTATTCTTATTTTTGAAAAATGATGATTTGGCAGTGTATATTCAGTTAATGATTTCTTTTGTTTTTAATAAGAAATCAAAGCCAAGCAGGGTGGCTCACACTTTTAATCCTAGCACTAGGGAGGCAGAAGCAGGTGAATCTCTGAATTTGAGGCCAGCTTGGTCTGTAGAGCAAGTTCCAGGATAGCCTGGGCTACACAGAGGAACCCTGTTTGGCGGGGTGGGGAAGAAATCAGATACTTAGTTATCCAATTGTAAGTTTAAAGGTTAATAACATCACTGGGTGATAGTGGCCACACCTTTGATGCCAGCACTTGGGAGGCAGAGGCAGATATATCTCTGTGAATTTGAGGCCAGCCTGGTCTACGAAAGGGAGTCCAGGACCAAAAAAAAAAAAAATTCAAAGAATAGACCTCTGCACCTTTGAACGTTTGTAAATTACATTTTACTTCTGCTCACACAAATAAGTTTGAGTTAGTCTAATCCTTCTTCCCAGATGAGAGATGCCTCAAACTATGTATTTCTCCGTTTCCCTTTGTAGGCCTTACACTGTTATTTAATCAGACGTTAAATGTCTCATGCTATTTGAAACAGCAGTGGAGGAAACTATCAGGGCATCTTGCCGTCTCCTGGTCTCCTTTCCTCTGCCCCAAGTCTTGTCTACCAAGTCCTTAGAGCTTGGGGTTAGCCCACTGAGTGGTTCTGCACTCTACAGCACTGCTTTAACTGTCAGGAGCTCTGTGTTGTGTTTGTTGTTGCTTAAGACAAAAACATGGCACTTAGAATTTTAAGGGCCCCCCCCCCCAAAAAAAAAAAACAGTATTTTTCTTTTTTTAGGTGGCAGCACTTGTTGATCAAACCATCTGCCCTAGGACCAGACCTTGGGCACGTGTCTTAAGGAACCAAACAAATAAGCAAACAATCTAAGATCCTGGCCTTCTGGTATAGTTCTAGTCACAGAGTTCCTATTTAATTTGGTTAGCTTTCTGCCTGTCGTATTTGTTTAACCTTTCTACTCTAGAGTTTCATCTTCTGCTATATTGCATAGGATAAACAAGGAAGCAGGTGATCAAATGAATGTGTTTTTTTTTTTTAAATCTTAAGGAAAATGAATACAAAATTAAAGTATAAAAGAAATTTCTATCTTAATGCTATAGAGTTTGAAGAAAGATAAGTCTGTTTACCAGTATAAAACTCTAAGGAAGGTATGACCTTTGTTGTATTTGCTTTATCTTAAGCAGAAAAGCCTAATGAATAGCTTCTAAAGAAATATGAGTTGAGTATTACATAAGATTCATAAATTTCCTGGCTTATCTGGATCCTTAATGAAAACATATGGGAAAAAATACTGATATCTCAGAGAGGACTCTGAGCTATGTGTAGTGTTTCCTTTCCGTGCAGGCCTAGGAGTTACTGCCCTGAGTCGAGGGATGTGAGAGTGGGGATGAGTTCAGAGAGACACTTGGCCATTACAGTGGAATTTGGAACACCTCTCTGGGAATGTCTGCAGAGGAAGCCATGAGTGGGGTCCTCTTTTCACCCAAGGATTAGTAGAAGACATTCTTCAGTTTCAGTTGGAGTAGTTATCCCATAAAGAGCTCACATGACCTTTCCCAAAACAGTGTCTGAGTGGACACCAATGGAACAATGTTAAATTCCTGTGTTTTTTTTTTTTCTAGTCTTTTCCTAAATTTTCAGTGTTACATTCCCAAATTTTTAATGATTACATAAGTCTACTTCTATGTCCTTTCTTTTTAAACTAAATAACCCAAACCTATTTCCTCTTTTCTCCCTTCATTTCTTGTTTCTACCTTTGATGTCATCTCCAGTATGAGCTGGTGTCCCTCTGGTGTGCAATACTCGGCTGCCCTGAATGCTGACTTTAATTTCAGAAGGTATAGTATTACATGTCCAGCCACCAAACCAGGAACCATAAAGTAAGACTTCTGGCTTTGGGCCGGCTTCCCTGTGGCTGGAATGCACACGGGCAGCCTGCAATATCTGAGAGCATAGTATCCTGCTGCCGCCTTCGCTATGGATGCCGCCAACCCACTTGCAAGAGTATGCGTAGGAACAGCACCCACCGCTGCATCGCGTGTCTCAAACAGCAATAGACTGCCATGTTTTCTGCATGAGCCTTCTATCTGTGCTATACACCCTTGTCTCTGTTCTGGCCTTTCAGTGTTCCCAGATCCTTAAGAAAACAGTGAATCAAAGCAGCTAATAGGCCCTGGTTTCTATTATACTTTCAAGTCCTACATTGAGGTTCTGAATTTAGATGCATCATCATTTCATATTTGTCTTTGAGTTAGGCAGCTAGATTTACTTATTAAAATGTTTTCAGGATTAAGTTTTGTGGTGAGCATAGATCAGGTTTTCTTGGGCTTTTTAGATAATTCACAGTGGAAAACTAAATTTCTTCACTTAGCTAAACTTTCTTCTTATGCCTGATGCTAAAAAAAAAAAAAAGGGTTCTAAAGAGACATTTTGTTGCAGTTCGTTTTGATTTCTGTTGTCATACTGAAATAAGAACAACAAATTTGTTAATAGTTTACTGCTAGAGAAAATAGAGACATATAGCTTCAGTTCATAAGTAACTTGTGAAGAAAAAAAAAATTACCCTTCAGGGCTGCCATATATGAACTAATTGTAGCAATTAACTGTACAATTTTCCCAGAACAGAAGTAACTGTCTGTGTGTGTGTATGTATGTATGTATGTATGTATGTATGTATGTATGTATGTATGTATGTGATATATATCCCAAATACAATTCCAGCTGGTTGCTACCTGAGAACAGTCAACTACAACTGTATGCTTCTTTCAAAGAAGTTCTTTCAGTGTAATTATAGCAAATGTGTGCTTATTTTACTTAGCAACTCCAAAGAGGGTAGACAGCTAACCTTCCTCTTTAGCCCCTGTTACTTATAGGCAGTAACTACAAAATCTGTACCTCCAAACTCCCTTTTAAAATTCCAAACCCTGTTTACTTTTTCAGCATTTATGATCTAGTGCTTTATGTGCCTGTCTGCAGCTGATGATTCTCACTATGCCATCATCTGGCCAGGTGTGCACAAATGGTATTGCTCATGAGTGAAACCAGAGTTTTCTGGGTAAAACTGTACCCAGAAAGTTGTTGAGTCAAGCAAAATATAATTGAGTATAGTTTTATGAGGTCTGTATGGTGAGCACACAGCAAAGTCACTCACTTTCCATTCTCAAAGCTCTTTATGCTTGTGTTTTGTGACATTTGGCATTAGATAACTTAGATTTTGGAAAAATTAATTTTACCACATCAATGACAATATACATGTATAAAAAATGAAATAAATATGGTCTGTCCGTATGGTATATTAAAAACCAGCTGAGAAAATGATGGTATCTGGTTCAACATTTTGATAAGTTGAATGAGGTAGAGAAATAAACATGTCTAGCGTTGTCTCTTAGCATCCAAGACCACTGGTGGGAGGGTGCTGAGTGCTGTTCATCTGCTCCGTATCATTGTAGGTACTTTGCGTAAGAGACACTGAAATAAATATATCAGTTAGAGGGATTTTTGTATTCTCCCATTCTGAGATCTATGAACAGTGACTGAACTCTTGTGTTCTGTGTTCAGTTTCAGTCTGGAAGGCTTGACAGGAGGAGCTGGTGTTGGAAATAAGCCATCCTCTTCTCTAGAAATGAGCTCGGTAAACTCCAGTGAGCGCAGAAACCCTTTCAGTGCTGAGGAACAAAGAGACTCATTGATGTCACTTTCAGAAGAACATCTGGAGCCAGACCAGAGACAGCATCATAGGATGTTTGATCAGCAGGTAAGGCTAAAATAGGTATGTACTGCTAATGGGGGTGGTAGTGGAATAGTATCCCCAAATATGATCTCATTGTTTTATGCTTTTTGTTAGTATAAAGCTAGAGCTGTCATTACTTACTTATTAAATAATATCGTCAATTCTAGCAACAACACATTTTTATCATTAAACATGAGTATTTAAGAAAACACCAGTTGGGTTGGAGAAATGGCTCAGTGGTTAAGAATACTTAACTGCTCTTGCGAAGGACTGGCATTTCATTCCTAGCACCCACATATGTGTCTCACAGCCATCCGTAAGTCCAGTTCCAAGGATCCAGTGCTGCCTTCTGACCTCTAGGGGCACCAGGCATGAACAGACAAAACATGCTATACCAAAAAAAAAAAAAAAAAAAAAAAAAAAATTTTAAAAAACACTGTTTTCAGAAAAGAATACATTAATCTGCACAGACTTAAATATTCTATCACAGCAAATGTTTTAGGATTGGAAAGGTATTTAGGATATATAGCTTCCTTTATCTGTCTCTGTTGTTCTTTTACCAGCTCATTGTAAATTGAGTTTTAAAGTGTATTGCATGCCATTATTAAATTTAGCAATTTGAAAATCCATGCCCCAAGGTTATTTCCTAGAGAAAACATGTTCTTTGTCTCAACCATACTGTTCAAGAAGTGCCTGTTTATGCCCTCTATTAACTGTGAGTTTCAAGCCCCTATAAGTGAGTTGTCTAGTGCCACATAACATTTAGACGTGATGGCTGTTAGCCTCATTATTTCTTCCCATGACTTAGAAGTAGGGTTTTAATGAGAGAATATTGTAACTTTCTTAATGCTGTTTGTGTGACCTTTTCTGAAACAGATATTCCCAGAAATTTGACAGATGACACTGTCTTTTAGTAAATGATACTAATTACCACTATCTTTCTGACTTAATCTTTCTAGATAAAGTCAACATCTAGATAAATATCGGCATTTTTTGTGCTGTGTTGTGTGTAGTCTTCCTAGAACTTTCATCTTACCTTTAGTTCCTCTTGTGCACAACCTCAGAGTGGGTGTTATGTTGCATGTATCTTTCTAATCTAGACAAGTTGCCTGCAGCCAACTTCCTCTTGAAAGTCTCTGCTGTTCTCTGAGGTCATTCTTCAGATCTCACAGTTGTATTTGAAACATAGCAACTGTTTGCTTCAGATTCCATGGTTACACACGGAACAAGCTCTAAATAATCGGAAGTCTTTGACCCAACTGGGGGCGGGGGTGCATGTTAGGAGTAGATCTTCAGTGCCTCTCTGTCAACTTATGTGAGTCATAAAGAGGCAGATTTCATCTTGTGAGACGACTAGAATGAGCTGTCTCAAAATGAAAGATGTATGAGTCCCTTATCACCAGAAGTAACAGTCATTCCTTTGGGGATGTTAAAAGGAGCCTCTGCTTTTGCTTGGGATACATGGCTTTTAAAACGCTATGAATTTAAATTGCTGGTAACTCTGCTGAGGAAGTTACTAAATTGCAGTTACCTTGTGTTCATGTAAAATCAATCTAAGAGGAAGTAAAACAGATTTCACTTCTTCCCAAATGCATTGCTGCTTTGCTAATGTTCTTGAAATGCTTTCTACTCAGATCTCAGTTTCCAACTCTTTATAATCAGAGTAACCACATATCCTACTGCATGTCTGTAAAGATGTTTCGATTTTCAAAGGAGCAGTGCTCTATATAGTCTGCTACTTCTGGTGAAGTTAATTACCGATTATTTGTCCCGCAGATACTTGCTGAGCCCTTACTCAATTTGAAACATTGTTAGATGCCCTGAGGAATGTAAAACCACTGTGAATGGTGAATACTCATCAGTTTCAGGTGACAAATGGAAGGCTTAGAGAAGCTGAGTAACTTCTTAGATGAGTCACTGTTAAGCGGCAGAGGCAGACTGCATTCCAAGTCTTTCTTTACTAGGTTGGGTTAGTTAATTCTGCACATGTCTAAATATATGAACATGTACTTAGAACCCATTCTTCATTTTTTTTTCGTAGACATGCCACAGGTCTAAACAACAGGGATTTAATTACTGTACATCAGCCATTTCTTCTCCATTGACAAAATCCATCTCATTAATGACAATCAGTCATCCTGGATTGGACAGTGAGTATACTGTTTTTTAAAAATGAATGCATTTTAACCACTTTTCCAATATATTTTTTTTTAACCTTCGGATCTTACTAACTTTCAGATTTTGTCTGCTTCTTCTGACTAATGTAGAGATTAGCTTTCAGCTCTTCCTCTTGCTATGTAAAAATCTTTTTGATACATACATTACATTCATTATATTCTGGGGTATAAATATGACACCATTTTAAAAAGTGGTTTTGAAATAATTTCATACTTCAAAAATGGGTACAAATGACTCACTGAAAAATTATCTAGCAAGAAAAATGTGGCAAAAATAGTGTGAGGAATTTGTGTGTTCTTCCCTCAAATTCCCAAATGTTACAATAATTCATATTTTTCCAGAATGCTCCCTTTCCTTATCATTCCCCTTCAGAGAGTAGTTTTCTTTACCCCTAAATAATTTAATGTTCCTTAAAAGCAAAGATACTCTTTCTTATATTATTGTAATTATCTAAATCAGGAAACTAATTCTGGTCAGATTGATCTAATAAAGACACAATTCAATTTTTCTCATCTTTTCCTGGGTCCTGAATCCAATCCAAAAACAGATGTTGAAATGAGTATTTATGTCACAGGAGGCTCCTTAAATCTGGAACTATATCTCAAGTGATCTCTGTCCATGCTAAACTTGACAGAATACAAGCCAGTCTGAGCACTCAAAAATGTCAAGCTTAGGAGACAAAATTGAAGAACTTTTTTACTTAAGCAAGTACAAGAGAATTAAGTCTGAAAGTGACTATTAAAGCTGCAGATGCAGGTCAGATGGTTGTAAAGTGGAATCCATGTGACTCTATACCTGACATTAGTGAATAAAAGATTACAAGCAGGTAATTGTATAAATCTTTTCCACCAACCTGTTCCTTAAGGAAGCTTCTTTTTTTTTTTTTTTAAGAGTTATTTATTTTTTTTATGTATACAATGTTCTGCTTGCATGTACACTTGCACACCAGAAGAGGGCACCAGATTTCATTATAGATGGTTGTGAGCCACCATGTGGTTGCTGGGAATTGAACTCAGGACCTCTGGAAGAGCAAGCAGTGCTCTTAACCTCTGAGCTATCTCTCCAGCCCCCAGGAAGCTTCTTTTTATTATTAATATTTATTTTTATATGTATGGATGTTTTACCTGCATCTGTGTCTGTACAGCACGTGCGTGTTGTGCTCACAGAGTCCAGAAGAGGGCATTGGCCTCTCTGGAACTGAAGTCACAGATGCCTGTGAGTTGCCATGTGGCTGCTGGGAATCAAACCTAAGCCTTCTGGAAGACCAGCCATTGCTCTTAACCATTGAGCCATCTGTCTAGTACTAGGAACCTGTTTTGAAATTGATTTTCAGTGAGTGATTATCGTGTGAGGTCATGATGCAGAGATTAAATCTGAAAGGGAATAATGTTCATGTTCTTCACTACAAGGCTGGGTATTCTGGAAACTAAGCACAAGCTCCTGTGTCTGTGAGGTTTTTTCAGTGTCCTCTTAAAATATAAGTCAAAGACCTGGAGATTAATATAGCTATTCTTCACTCATGTGTTGTTCTGCCTTACATCTTGGCTAAGTGGATGTTTAATCTTACAAATTTTCACAGTAGAGGAATGGTGTAAAGGATGATACTCTTGCTGTGTAATATGAGCACCTGAATTTAGATCCCAGTGCCTACATAAGAAGCTAGCCATACTCTCATGCTTTTCTGTGACCCTAGCATGTTCTAGGGAGAGGAGGCAAGAAGACCACTAGAGCTTGCTGCCTTCTAGCCTATCTAAAAAACATGAACTCCACGATCAAGGAGAACCCGACTCTTCTGGCGTCCTGTGTGTGCACACCTGAACATAAATGCACACACATGCGTTTTTTTGAGGGTGGTTGGACTTGTTCAGCAGTAGAGTTCAGTTCCTGTTGAGCATGCATGAGGCCCTCCATCTCCCACGTTCTGAGATTGCAGGCACACATCATCATACTGAGTTTACAGTCAGTTTTTTTTAAGATGGTTTAGCTGATGTTTTATATAAGTAGATAGAATGACTGAATGACTGTTAAAGAAAACTTTGCCACCTCAGTCACTTCAGCTGTTAAGTAAGGATAATGTGCTGTGGCTTTAATGTGAATTAAAGTCATCAGTGTACTTCCTGTTGTATAATGAGCACAGAATCCTGTAGTTCTCAGTGACCCAAAATAGTGCCAAAGTCTTTTTCTCTGACTGTGATTCAAGCAGTTTTAGAAACAAGAACATTTTCTATCATGTTGGGAAAGAACCCGAAATTATTGGAAAGAATATTCTTTATTTCACACAGACAGACAAAGTAAAAGTAATATTTCACTGCGTTGGCGGGAGCTCAACCTCGTAATCTGATGAGGCTGATATAGCTTTCACATTAGGTACAGGGCATTTTTTTCTGATTTGATTTAGGGCCTTAAGATTCCCAAAAGATGTGTTCCATTCTGTGTTTGTTGGGTTTCTGCTGCCTGAAGACTGTCCACATACACACAGGTGAGCGAGGAAACGAATGAGTCTGATCTTCAAAGAATAGCTCTGCCTTAAAGATTATAGAAAGAGACCCAGTATATTATCTGCATACACTATGAAGAAGTAAGAGTGAGGTAGGAAATTTGGGATGAGTGTGAAGAGCAACAAACACTTAACCCTGAGCAACATGTCTTCGAATCTAACAAGGACATATTTTTTAGGTGATTTGTTAAATTGTATTACAACTTTTCATGCTCATAAATGAATATGTAAAGAAATACATTGTTAGGTGGACAGTGGTGGCACACGCCCTTCATTGCAGCACTGTGAATTTGAGGCCAGCCTGGTCTGCAAAGTGAGTCCAGGACAGCCAGGGCTACACAGAGAGAAGCCCTATCTTGAAAAATATAAATAAGTAAATATATACATACATACGTAAGTAAGTAAATAGCAAATAGTTAATTTTGATAAACTTTCCTGGGATCCCAAAGGCCATTGACATTATTCTGTTTCCACCTAGGTTGGAGGTACCTTTTTCTTTTCCTGGCTTTAATGTTCTGCATGCTCTAATGTCTTTCTGTCAACCTACTTCTCAGCGCAGCAGCACACGAAGCCTTTTCTGTCAACATTTCTCCGCTCCTCCTTAAATCTAAAACTCTCTTTTCTTTTGGCTCTTCTTATTCCAGTGATGAGGAGGATCAGTTGCATAGTAAGTAAGCTGATTTGGTGTCTAGTGGCTCTTCTTCAAAGTCTGGCTAACTTTAAAAACGCTGTAGGCTTTAATGCACATGCCTTTAATCTCAGCGGCAGAGGCAGGCAGATCTCTCTGAGTTCAAGGCCAGCCTGGTCTACAAAGAGAGTTTCAGGCAGGACAGCAAGAGCTACACAGAGAAACCTTGTCCCGAAAAACAAAACACAAGAAGCAAAATAAAACAAAAATGCTATAGGCTTGTTAATAAACTAAATTGTCTGAGGGCTTTTATCCCTTTGTGTGCTATCTTGTATATTCCTTATATGCTATTTTCTATTAGGCCCTTGAGCACATGCCTTTGCAAATTGATCTTGATTAGACCAGTGTTTTGCTCTTGTTATATACTAATACTGATTGTTTCAGTGGCCTCCCAATGCCAGTACAGGAGTCTTTCCCAAACACACCTCAGGCATGAGGGCTGTATTCACATCCCACTTCTGCCCTTTTTAATACTGAGTGTAAGTTTTACAAGACTTTTTGTTTTTATTTTAATTTCCATTATCTTTTTTTTTTTTTTTCTGTCTTCTGGGACAGATAGGTCAGGTATATCTATCAGTGTAAGTTTCTCTTCCAATCTTTTTCTATAATTGAAAAAAAGAAAATCTATGAGATTAGATCCCATAGATTAGAAAATAAGAGTTATGTATTTTTCTCTCAGTTTTGTTTTTCTAAACTCTATCTTATGCTGCACTCCTCTCAGTGAGTTACATGATCAAATTAGTAAGTTCTTAGTAACTGGTATGAAATGTTTTGAGAAATCAGTTTTAGTATACTTGCAGTGTGGCTGAGACTTCTTTTATTATTGACTTCAATTTTAGAGGACTTCTAAGATATTCTAGGACTTACATTTTTATGGGAAAACTTTCTATTATGAAGTAATGATTTGTTGTCAGAACTAATATTATGAGTGTCTAATACTTATGTTCATATCATTGTTCTTCTACTTGCTGACCTGAAGTAACAGCAGTGTACAAAAGTGGCTGCCATTTCTCATTGTCTTTTAAAAGAAAGTGTCTTTGGCATTGAGATATTATGTAGTTTTAAATGGTAGCCTCATTGGTATTTGTAGACTTTTCACTTATTAAAAGATGCTTGACAAAGAAACAATCAGATGCTTAAATTTTATCCCTTGTAGGAGGCAGAAAGTTGCAAAAATTGGTTTAAATTTTGAGTGTTCTGTTCTCAAATCTCTTTGATTCAAAGTATTGGTAGTATTATAGGAAATAGATAGGTTATGCTAAGAAACCAAAACCTCAGTAAAACTTCCTTATCACTAGGAACAGATTGTAATCCCAGAACATTACTGGTCTCCCTAGAATCTTAAAAATACAGAAGCAAGAGTATTTTGAGTCCAGTGTGCAACATTTCTCAAACCATTTTCAGTCCAAAAAATGTCAGTGAGATTAATGAGGAGGGAATAGTCAAATACATTAAGAAGCTTGGTTAAGCAGCTTTAAAATACTAACACATTTTGAAGTCCCAAGCCAGTCTTTGATAGACTGTACTTCCCAAATAAATAATTAAGAAGCTATAATAACATGTAAGACCATCTATGCTCCACAAGATTCTTGTTGCATAGAACACATTTTGTTGTATGTCTGTTCAGTGGTTGCAGCTCAAAACTCCTAGGTGTATAGAATAGGCCTGCATGTTATTTTTTGTCTTAAAATAAAAATATGGTTGAAATGTTATTTATCTGCAATAATAGTTAACAAGTTAATGACCAGTTTATTTTCTTCTGTTTGTAATTTTGTCATGGAGATGACCCATGTTATCTTATACTCTTGAAGTCTCTATACTTGAGGAATTTCAGAGGCACTAATTTTGGTAGCAGTGGTAAATTAATCTGGCTTTTTTTCCCCCAGAACCACATGTAAGATAACATAGTAACTGAAATAAATTCTTTTCAGCAATAAAAACATTGAGAACTCTTAGAATTGCTGCCATAGATTCTCTTGGTACCTAATCACATATGTGTTTAGTTTTCATATTTTCCACAGATAACCAGTAGTTGTTTCTTGTATCCAAGTTTTTTTTTTTTGGGGGGGGGTATTTTTCTGCAATAGAATTTTACTTTTATTTTGTATAGTTTACTAGAGTGATAACTTAATGAGTTGCTTAAATGTGCAGTGCAATCCTGCAAGTTTTAGGAGAATTGAGTGCTTATATCATTGAAGGCTCCTGAATGGGAAAAGTTGTAAAGCCACTGTTTTAATCCAATCTCTCGTTTAAAGCTAACTAGAGTATCAAAATGCTTATAGTTTCACAACTAGATTCTGCGGAACTGGGAGGCAGATACTTCTTACTTACCAAGCTATTGTTGCCAAACATGGTAAAAGTGTTGGAGGAACCCCAAGTCTCTGGGCACAGGGAAACAAGTTCTGAAGAATTGCTTTACTGTTTAATAAAAATTACAATTTTATATTTAAAATATAGTGTAGATTTGAGGTTAAAGGCTTTTGAATGGCAGTAATGTCATTGTGGAACATCTTCAAATCTCTCTGAAATTCAAGTTTTACTCATTATTATGAATTATTACCTCAGAGGCTCTCAAAACTGACCTCACAGAATAAAGTGTGTGTGTGTGTGTGTGTTTTCTCTATATGGTAACAGTAGTTAGTTATATATGAGTTAGATATCAACTATAAACGATCACATTAAAAATTGGAAGCCATTCACCTTTTGCTTGAAGGCTTTGCACGATTCAAAATTTTCAATAGTAGTTCAAATCTTTGTTTTAATAGTATTTTGTTTTCATTTATCTTTTTATTTACCATATTTACTTTTCATTTGTTACTATGTCTCATAGAGAAATAATTATATTGTTCCCTTTCTACTTATTCTTCTGCTACCCCACTTATCCTTGGAATTGTAGTAGCATGGTTCCATTTCTTACGGGGAGGAGGAAGGATGTATCTGCCCGTTCACTTCATCACTGACCACTTGAAAAAGACCTAACAATTTGCTCCCCTCATTGCACAGTTGAGGAACTGATTTGGAGAAGTTTTTCCCGTACTAGAGGTAGAGCCTGGGCTTCTTAGCCAGCTCTTATGGCCTTCTTATTCAGGAATCCATTTCCAGGAATTCTCAGGAGACTATCAGATAATATTTTACTGATATATATCAGATAATATTTGGATAGAAATTACTTCTTTCATACTGTCAGAAAAATGGCCCATGGAACTAAGCATTTATTAAAGACAGAACATAAATATATTTCACCTGTCCCTAAGCATAAAAACTAATGTTTTCAGTTACTCAGATCCTGGATTAAGTTTACTTTCTTCATGAAAAATTTACTTCCTGTTGCTTCCTTTTTCCTCTCTAATTTAAAGATTTCCAGTTTAATTTCTTCTCCTTCTAAACTTTCTAAAGAGTCGCCATGCACTGACTTTTTTACCAATGCACTTGTAGGTCATAACATCTATCATCAGGACAAGATCTTTGTGTGCTAACTTTACCTCTACGGTTTTTGTTTTCTAGATTCGCGGCATTTCCACAGTACCAGTGCTAACTTGACTGAGAGGTACGATGCGTTTAGTTTCTAGGTCCTTTTGCCAAAATGAAATGAAGACAATACAAGTGATCTTACCATGTGTAATTAAATATTTTAAGTTCTTGAGCTCACCCAGGTTCTGACTTTTTTGAATGGCAAGTTTGAAATAATTAGAAACTATTTTATGATGAAGGCTTTATTTTTCTTTTAAAATACACTCAGTCACTTTACACTCTTATTCTTTGTATTTTCTTTATGATAAATATGATTATTTGCTTTTATTCACATAAAACATACTGATTTTTAACATACGTTTATATATTTGGCTTATAGAGATTTTTAATTTTTGGATGAACTTAATACTTTGTTTTATAGTGTGTGCTTCTATGGATGGACACACCTGTGTTATCCTGTATAGGTAAACTTTTATCTTCTTAGCCATTTAAACCTTTAAAGCTGAGGGTGGGTGGCATGGTTCAGTGGTCATGCTGAAGATTCATGAGGCTCTGAGTTCCAGCCCCATTCCAAAAAGAAAAGCTGTGTGTACTATTTACCTCTGCCCATGTAGAATTGAGGTTTTCTTTTCCTTCCTCCCCATCTCTTTTCTTTCCTTATACTGGGGAACAACCCAGGCATTTGTGCATACTAGGTAAGTGTTCCATCATTGAGCTTCATTCCAAATTGAATTGATATTTTTTTACTTGACAACATACACAAAATCCACTTTGACTCATCATTTATGAATCTGTTTGTGTTTATGCAATTAAACATTGTGATTTAGTATAACAGGACTTTCTTTGGAGCACCAGCTCCCAAATAATGACACCGAGACTTTTTATTAATTATAAAAGCTTGGCCTTTGCTTTGGCTTGTTCCCAACTAGCTCTTAACTTAAATTAACACCTTTATGTTAATCTATGTTCTGCTGTGTGGCTTGTTACCTTTCCTCAGTCCTGGCAACTGTTCCTCAGATTCCTTCCCAGAGCTCTTATCTTTGCCGGAAGTCCCACCTTCCTTTCCTGCCTTTGCCTTTGCTGTAGACCATTCTGCCCTTTATTAAACCAATCCAAAGGTGAGGGAAGTATATGTTTACAAAATATGATGCAGGTGCTGAGCAATAACAAAATCAAAGTCCTGACAGTACTCAGCTCTTTGGTGGTACAAAATTAACAAAGACAATCTTAACACAGTGAACAAAAAAATCACCCCAACAATTTAGTGTCATTGGATTTCTGATTGTTTTAAGTTGCCCTTAACTTCAGGTATGATTGTGGTCCAGAGCCTTTCCAGTAAGTGTTTCTCTTTATGCTGCTTTCATATATTTATCCTTCTCTAAAGCAGTGGTTTTTATGCCATTACTCTTAAAAATGGACTTCTTTGTGTTATAGCCATCACATTTATAAAGGAGGCTTTTGAAAGAATCCTTTTATGGTTCTGCTTACAAATGCATTCTAAAATGGCTGGTGTAAAATACCCAAGCAAATACCTTGATGAGTTCTTTGTCCTTTATAATATATTATTATTTATGTCAGTACGCTTTAAGAAAATCCACAATTATAAATTTCCTAAAATCAAAACACATCCATATTAGATGAACTTAAATTTTATGCATATTTCTTGAACAAGTAGATCAGTATCTCTGGAATGAATCTGTCTACGTTTTGCCTGAAATGTACTTATTCTTCACCCCAAAGTTGTATATAGATTTCTGGATGGCCATAGTTTGTCAGTAAGATCAGAAAAGATTTATATCCTCTGCTGTTAATGGGTTTATCCTTGTCCTAAGATTCTGTTTTGCCAGCTTTCTCAGCATGTACCCTGCCATCCCAGTGGGTCTGTGGATGTCCTTTCAAGCAAAGAAGTTGATATACCCAATGCTATTTTTATATTTAGTTCCAAATTTGTTTTCAAAGTGTATGCGGACATTCAGTAACCACTATCTCCTGCTTTCTCAGCTCACCATTTAACTTTTCAGGTCCTGAAAAAAAAAATTATATCTTTTTGTTTTTATTCAGTATAACAGAAGAAAACTACAGTTTCCTGCCACCCAGCCCCTCAAAAAAGGATTTTGAAGTGAAGAGTGGGACGAAGGTCAGCCGCACCTTCAGCTACATCAGGAATAAAATGTCCAGTAGCAAGAAGAGCAAAGTAAGTATCTTTTGGGTGTTCTCTGTATGACCACCTCAATCAGTCACCACCTGCATAGGGAGTGACAGGGTATCAATGGGAATAACTTCAGAGCTACTCTGGAGCAGTCTGATGTCTGAAGAAAAATAGCAGCAATACAAGCAGTGGCCAGAAGTGCTGTCACTGTTCTACGTGCCAGAAGTTGCCCATGCATCAACTTACTGTATCCTTTCAAGAACCCTGCTGGTATGGGTCTTTCCTTTCCTTGGGGGATGCCTGTTTAATGTGGAGAAGAGGTTCAAACCCCAGTGTCTCTAGCCTCACCCTATACACAGAGCCACAATACATAAATTATTAAATCATTGTTAAAATCCAATAGGAAGATTTTATGCTAAGATAAAAAGGGGTGTGTGTGTGTGTATATATGTATGTATATATATATACTTATACACAAACACACATACTTATATAAAGTTACTGTGGGCAACTTTGCTAAAATTTTTTTCTTATACAACTTTCCTTTTTTATGCTGCTGGGAATTTGTTTTAAAAAAGATGTGTGTGTCTTTTAACTGAGAGTATTGTGTGTGGCCTCGATCCTTGCCATATTTCCCATACAACATAAGTGCTGTCCATACAGCACATACATATATATAAGGTATAGAGGGAAGGAAGATATGCTTCAGAAAATTACAAGAATTTTTAAGTCTTACTTAGATGTATTTCTACTTGAAAGGATTTGTTGTGTATCCTCTTTATTAGGTTGTTTCTTTTTCCTGTTTCTTTAATACTTTTTTTCAGGTTTTTTTTTAATTTATTTATTTTTATTAATTACAGTTTATTCACTTTGTATCCCCCCAAAAGGTCCTCCCTCCTCCCCTCCCAGTCCCATCCTCCCTCCCCCTTCTTCACGTATGCCCCTCCCCAAGTCCACTGATAGGGGAGGTCTTCCTCTCCTTCCTTCTGATCTTAGTCTATCAGATCACATCAGCAATGACTGCATTGTCGTCATCTGTAGCCTGGTAAGGCTGCTCTCCCCTCAGGGGGAGGTGATTAAAGAACAGGCCAATCATATTATGTCAGAGGCAGTCCCTCTTCCCATTACTGTGTAACCCACTTGGACACTAAGCTGCCATAGACTACATCTGTGCAGGGGTTCTAGGTTATCTCCATACCAGGTACTTGGTTGGCGTATGAGTCTCTGGGAAGACCCCTGTGTTCAAATTTTCTGGTTCTGTTGCTCTCCTTATGGGGTTCTTGTCCTCTCCAGATCTTATTATTTCCCACTTCTTACATAAGATTCCCTGCACGTTACCCAACAGTTGGCCATAAGATTCAGCGTCTGCTTTGATAGTCTGCAGGGTAGAGCCTTTCAGAGGCCCTCTGTGGCAGGTTCCTAGGTTGTTTCCTGTTTTCTTCTTCTTCTGATGTCCATCCTCTTTGCCTTTCAGGATGGGGATTGACCGTTTTAGTTAGGGTCCTCTCTCTTGATTAGTTTCTTTAGATGTATAGGTTTTAGTAGGTTTATCCTATGTTATATGTTTATATGAGTGTGTATATACTGTGTGTGTCTTTCTGCTTCTGGGACAGCTCACTCAGGATGATCCCTTCCAGGTCACACCATTTACCTCAAATTTCATGATTTCCTTATTTTTCATTGCAGAGTAATACTCCATTGTGTAGATGTACCACTATTTCTGCATCCATTCTTCAGTTGAGGGGCATCTGGGCTGTTTCCAGCTTCTGGCTATTACAAATAAAGCTACTACAAACATGGTTGAGCAAATGTCCTTATTATGTACTTGAACCCCTTTTGGATATATGCCTAGGAGTGGTATGGCTGGATCTTGAGGAAGCGCCAGATTGCTTTCCAGAGTGGTTGTATGAGTTTGCATTCCCACCAGCAATGAAGGAGGGTTCCCCTTTCTCCACAACCTCTCCAGCATGTGTTGTCACTTGAGTTTTTCTTCTTGGCCATTCTGATGGGTGTAAGGTGAAATCTCAGGGTCGTTTTGATTTGCATTTCCCTAACGGCTAATGACATTGAGCATTTCTTTAGGTGTTTCTCTGCCATTCGATATTCCTCTACAGAGAGTTCTCTTTTTAGCTCTGTTACCCATTTTTTAATTGGATTACTTGGTTTGCTGCTTTTCAGCTTCTTTAGTTCTTTATATATACTGGATATTAGCCCTCTGTCAGATAAAGGGTTGGTGAAGATTCTTTCCCAATCTGTAGGCAGTCGTTTTGTTTTGATGATGGTGTCCTTTGCTTTACAGAAGCTTTAACCTCATAGTTCTAGCCTGTGGTAAGAGGTAGGTGATGAGATGAGACAGGAAACAAGGCTATCTGTGTTAGATTCGGGTCTTTCATCACCATTAAAGAACCAGTTGACCTCTTGCTTCTGCTCCTCTCCTTAGTCAAAATGACAACGCTCTTTTGCAATTGGCTTGGTTCCTTTTTCAGACTTGACTTCAAGATTTGATCTTTGGGGGCTCTGCTGTCTCCAGCAATGGAAAACTCCAAAAACTGCAAACTCATAGCTCTGCAGATTGTGATACAGTTCCCTTTTCCGGGTATTTGCAAGTTCCCTAATGGCCAGGCATATTAGTATGTCACCTTTCTAGTGGTTGTTAGCTAACTTTTAAACAAGGCCAGCTGCAGAACACAGTGACATTGTCAGTATAGACAGAGGTAATGAGAGAGAGTTATGTGTCCACTCTAACGCACAGATAAAATAAGTATCAACCTACTCTTTTTCCTAACTATTGAATGTTTCCCATTTTGTTTAAAAAAAAAAAAAAAAACATGGACATGATACTGTAGATATCACTAACTTTTCTATAAAAATGATGAACTTTCACCTTTTAAAATTTGTTTGGAGGTTTTTCTTTTTCTTCACAGTCTAGGGACTGAGTGGAGGGCCTTGAACATATTAGGCCGGTGCTGTAACCACTGAAGCACTACCACATGCTTAGGTTACTAGTTTTTGTCTTACCTGTCCATGAGAGGCCATCTAATCTTGCTCCGTTCAGCTAGTACTATAAGCATACCTTCTTTTAAAGAAAAAATTTAAGCACTTAATGAATATTATACTAAAATAATACGTATGTTTTATCTGAGTATAGTTAGAAAAATTTCTCTCTAAACATGTTGCCTGTATCTATGATAATACAGTTATAAACTTGGGTTTCTTATCTCATGTGACTGCTGTGACTGCCAGCCATCTTTGAACATTTGGAGTAGCCAACATTAGCCATTAGATAGTGAACATTTCACATTCCTAGAAAATATGTGCTGCCCAGTAGTGCCAAGTTTTTATGCATATAGTTATTATATAAGGAATTTAGTTACCAATCCTGCATATGTACCTTTTGAGAGTCCTCAGTAACTTGCAGAAGTTGCCAGATGTATATACTGAATGCTTTTTAGAAAGTTGGGAGACCTAAACAGGAAGTATAAGAGGAAGATGGGCAGTTTCTCCTTTTGTTGTACTGTCTTTGAGAGGCAGTACTGTTTCCTACTCATTGAATTGTGTTTATTATACATGTATTTAAGTACTTTCTTACATAGTACTGCTAAGCCACTGATTGTCTTTTTCTATTAAGCTCTCATTTTTACAAGGACAACTGGAAGACATTAGAAACATTTTAGACCAACTCCTAGACTGGCTCAAAATTTGATTAAAAAGAACCAACTTTCTTCCCAGCCGATATAGTTTCTGTGCCTTGTATATAAAAGAACTGTACCCATCATCCTTTTCAAGGTACCTTGTTACATTAGTTTTTCAGAATTGTCCAGTGCACCTGACTTCTGAAAGGATAGGTTTAGGAAAATGAAAAATGACTTACTTTCATAGCACCCTAGTGTTGTTGTGATCTCATCCATTTTAAATGTCATTAAATTCTTTTTCTACAGCATAGTTAAAGCATGTTCATAATGGTTAAATATAGACACATTAAATTTAAGAAAACAAACACCACTCACCATTTTACTGTGGACAACTTTGCTAAAATTTTTTTCTTATACAACTTTCCTTTTTTATGCTGCTAAGAATTTGTTTTAAAATAGATGTGTGTGTCTTTTAACTTAGAGTATTCTGTGTGGCCTCAATCCTTGCCATACTTTCCCGTACATGTATTTGGGAGTTACTTCAGTTTTCTTTCATTTCCTGTGTTAGGGTGGTTATCTTTACAAGCAACGTTTAAATAGTTAAGACTGTCTCAAGGAAGTAAGCAGCCTCAGCCCTCCCCTTGTGCACTTTCTCAACCAGTGTCTGGCTTCCTCTTATGGTTTGCTAATGGCAGCTCTGAGCTACTGAGCTGTCTGTCCTGCCGGCATGAGCGCCTCCTGTGAGAAAATATTTCGTGGCATGGGGGTCAAATCATGTCGGTAAAATGGGGTCGGCTTCCCGAAGTTCCTCTCATAACAGTGCGATTCACAGGACTAAAACATGGGCAGGTAAGAGCCCGACTTCTTCAAAGCACTGAATTATAACAACAGGAGGAGGCCGTGTAGTTTATTGTTTTGTTTTTGTCCTTGGAGGAACTAGTCTAGATTACTGTAAAGGGTGAAAAAATGGATTATTCACATCTGAACATTACAGTTCTTCAAAGAATAACCTAGCTGCCACAGAAAAGTGTATTGTTTTTGTTGTTTTGTAAACCATTGTGTATGCTTTTAACCTTGAAGCAAAAAAAAAATCAAAATCAAATGATTTTTACATTAACAATTTATACATAGAGAAATCTGCAGGAACAAATTAGTTAAAGGGGTTATTTGGATATGCTCAAGGTGTGGTAATTTGAGTTTTGTGCACTTTAGCAGTTACTAATTTATGTTCAGAAGAGTTTCCTGTTTTGAAAAGTGGTTTTCCTCCGTCCTTTCTGTTTACAGTTTTTAAAATACATCGGTTTGGCTTGTGGGGTTTGTTCTTTGTATTCCATTAAGGGAGAATTTTATGTGAATCATAGATTTTACAAATACCCCATTTCATGTATTGGGTGGGCTCTGACCTTTAGAAAAATCAGAAGATTTTAGTTCCTATTTGGTACTGATCATTGCTTTGTGACCCATTACAACTTAAGGGAACATGCCAACCCTTTGTCTAGTCATCAAGGAGTGCATCAATTCCAGCTTAAACAGCTGCTGCTCTGTGCTCCAAAATGTGTTGTTAGACCTCTCTAAGCCTCAGTCTTCTCAGATATAAAATGGAGATAATTAAAACTGTAATCCATTACCCTGTCCCTAGAAAATACATATAAACTACTTATTTCAATGCCTGGCATATAATAACTTTATCATTTTAAGTGTCATTCATCTATCCTCTCTGTTATAAAATGGGAAGCGTGATGTTCATCTGCCCACCGAATCTAGCTAGGTAATCTCTATACGTGGCACTGACAAGTGATACGTTTAGTAAGGTCACAGTCACTCACTCCAAGAAGCTCATTTCTCGGGTATTTTTTTAGATTGTAGTCCTAGTATAAAACAGTAGGTAAAATTCACCTCTGTGTTTTATAGCTTTTCATGATCTAGTTAGTTTGTAAGGGAATTATTTCACTAATCTTGTTGGTCAGTTGAACACCTAGTATAGTGGCTTTTCCTGTAACAAACATGAGGTAACTGTCAGATCTTAGGGTTGAAGGGCAACCATGCAAGAAGGGATGCCTCACAGTGGAAATCAAAGACAGCAGATCTTTGGAAGCCTTGTGCTTCCAGCCAGAGACAAGGCCTGCTCTTCCTGTTTCACTGGGCTTTGGGGCAGAGGAGTGAGCAATTAATCCTTGGGATTTCCCTACCCCGGTCCCCAGTTCCGCGGTTCCTTTTGAGAGGAAAAGAGTGCACTACAGCAAAGAAGGTGGTTTGGGAAAGGTTACTGCCAAGGCCTTCTTGTCTTTTCTACACCTCATGTTTTTTATGCTTTGTACTAGTATACTTGCTGCTGCTCCTGGGTTATTATCTCCTCCCTCCTCAAGTCAAAATTGCCTTTCCTTCACTACAAAAGATTGTGGTTTTGTGTTGAGTTAGGAGAGTAATTAAGCTGATGACACTCATTTTCAGTAAGGTATAAATAGTTCCTGTAATATATTAAATATTATACTTAATATGTGCTAGGCTTTGCATGTTTTACCCCTTCTTATTAAAAACAAAACTATAAATGGGCACCTTTCCCACTTTGCAAATGAGGTTACTGAGGCTCAGAGAAATAATTTGCCCACGTTCCCACCATTAGTAAAACTTAGAACTGACTTTATTCTTAACGTCTTTGCAGTTTTCTGCACTCCTCAGTAACCTCTCTGTCACCATTTGAACACTGAACCAAAATTAATATCTGGTAACCTACTGAGTTCTAATTAGTAAAAACTATATGTGAGGTTATTTAACAGTTTTGATTAGAGGAAGGAAGAAAATGTCATTGTTATTCAGGGACATACATGTTCCATGTAAAAGTTAGAGAGGAACCTCACAAAACTTTTTAAACTACATGACACTGTATTTCTCCATCATGCTGATCCCAGAGTTGATAACATGGTTCTTCTGCCCCCTTTCTGAATGAATCCTAAATTCAGTGTTTTCTATGTGGACTACGCTATACCTCACTGAGGAAAGAGCTTCCTGCCGCAGTCTCTACCCAGTGTCTCATAGTATAAACAACACCTGATGACTCAGAACTAAGTTTTTTTATTTAATTTTATTTATATATTTATTATAATTTATTCTCTTTTTATCCACACTGAAGCCCCATTTCTTGTTTCCTCCCAGTCCCACCCACCTTCCCTCTTCTCCTCCCATGACCCTCCCCAAGTCCATTGATAAGGGAGGTCCTCTTCCCCTTCCCCCTGACCCTAGCCTATCAGGTCTCATCAGGACTGGCTGCATATTCTTCCTCTGTGGCTTGGTAAGGCTGGCCCCCCTCAGGGGGAGGTGATCAAAGAGCCAGCCACTGAGTTCATGTCAGAGACACCCCCTGTTCCCCTTACTAGGGAACCCACTTGGAAACTGAGCAGCCAGTGGGCTTCTTTTGAACAGGGGTTCTAGGTCTGTGCATAGTCCTTGGTTGGCGTATCAGTCCAGAAAAGACCCCTGTGCCCAGGTTTTTGGTTCTATTGTTGTACTTGTGGTGTTCCTGTCCCCTCTAGTTCTTTCTGTCTCCCCCTTCCATAAGAATTCTGGCTCTGTGCCCAAAGTTTGGCTATGAGTCTCAGTATCTCCTTCAATACCCTGGTGGGTAGAGTCTTTCAGAGGTCCTCTTGTGGTAGTTTCCTATCCTGTTCTTCGTCTTCTCCTACTTCTGATGCCTGTCCTGTTTGCCCTTCTAAATGAGGATTAAGCATCTTCCCTAGGGTCCTCCTTGATGTTTAGCTTCTTTAGGACTATAGATTTTAGTATGTTTATCCTGTATTGTATGACTAATATCCACTTGTAAGTGAGTATATATCATATGTGTCTTTCTGCTTCTGGGATTTCACCTCACACCCATCAGAATGGCTAAGATCAAAACTCAAGGGATGATGCATGCTGGAGAGTCTGTGGAGAAAGGGGAACCCTCCTTCATTGTTGATGGGAATGTAACTTTGTACAACCACTTTGGAAGTCGATCTGGCACTTGTGCTACCTCAAGATCTAGTGTTGTGGGTTATTAATACTTACTATAGATTTATCTTTTAGTTAAGCAGCAGCTACTCCTAAACCAGCTGTATAACCAAATTACCACACAGAGACCAGGATTTATTTAATCAACCTAGAGCACAATGCTGGGCAATAGTTACTCCATCCTATACCTCTAAGCCCGCATAGTTTCCTACCATTCAGATTTCACCCATTATACTTGCTTTTTTAGTCATATCTTAGGTCTAGTTCATCCCTCCTCATGGTTCTAAGTCCTGTCCTGCTGATCTCTGTTTTCCCCACTCTTGCTTCCTTCTCCTCCCCTCTGGACCAGGATGTACCATCCTATTCTCTCCATTGCTCAGCATTGGGGTTGGTTGTTTTATTAAATGGTGGCATGTTTTCACAAACTTCAGACAGGTGATGCCGTGTCCAGATTGAAACCAGATAGTGGGATAGAGAAATCAGCATTTGAATGAACAAGGGTAAATTGTATACATTCCAGAAGAACATTATACCAACAATCCGGCTATACCACTCTTAGGCATATACCCAAGAGATGCCCCACCATTCAATAAGGACATTTGCTCGGCCGTGTTCATAGCAGCTTTATTTGTAACAGCCAGAATCTGAAAACAACCTACATGCCCCTCAAGAGAGGGACATAATGGAATACTATTCAGCAATTGAAAAACAAGGAAATCATGAAATTTGCAGGCAAATGGTGGGAACTAGAAAAGATCATCCTGAGTGAGGTAACTCCTGACTTTTTCTAATGGGAGGTTGCATGTTTGAAAATTAATAATATGTTGTCCAGAACATTGTTCCTCATTTCTGTCCACAAGAGGCACCACCACTTGCCATCTGTGCATCCATGTTAGGGAAGGCCTTCCAGTGCTCAGTTAACTGTTGATTGCTTCCTTTGGCAGGAAAAGGAAAAAGAGAAAGATAAAGTTAAGGAAAAAGAGAAAGAATCTAAAGAGAAGGACAAAGACAAGAAGACACTTAATGGGCACACTTTCAGCCCGATTCCTGTTGTGGGTCCCATCAGCTGCAGCCAGTGCATGAGGCCTTTCACCAACAAAGATGCCTACACATGTGCAAGTAAGAGACATGCTTCTTCTTTCCATCAGAGGAGGCTTTCTTGCCTCAAGAAAGCTGGTTTGTCTCTACTTTCCTGTGCATCCAACCCCTGATCTGTTCCTCATTTATGTGGAGAAGTAACTCTTGTATGTATTTTTCTTCTAATTTTAATTATGTAACATAAAAATCTGTATTTCTTTCAGACATCTCTAATTTCTGATTTTCTGCTTATAAACCACCTTCTATTGCCAGAAATCTGGAAAGTCAAAGCAATACATAGCCTCAAACCTTCAACCTTCACAGATCCTTTGCCACATCATATGCACTTAGTTTTATATGTGCCACACTCAACACACATGCATGCACATACATGCTCATGTAGTTTAGCAGTTTACAGATTCAAACTCAGGGCCTGGTATAGGAAAGCAGTCTAATTCTAAGTTACCTCCCTAGCACTTGGGCACTTATTTTTAACTAGTCCTCTGGAATATGATTCAGCCATTTGCCAGTATTAATCATGATGGCTACCAGATGAGAGTGTGTGCGTGAGCATGTATGTTCCATGCTTCTCCTACAGGACTTAGATAACAAGTGTCTGTGTCACAGCTACTTCATTCTCCAGTTACAACACAAAGGCAGCCATAAATATATTAACAAGAATGGCTTTGTTCCGGTGAAATTTCATTTACAGACACTGACATTTAAATTTTTGCATGCCATGTCATATTCATCTTTTCAATTCTTTTTAACTATCTAAAATATAAAAGCCATCCACAGCTCATGGACTGCAAAATCAAGCAAAAGACCAAATCTGGCACATGTACTATAATTTGCAAGTCTGCTGTAAAGCATTATTTCTCAAAACTGTGTCAATATACACATGGAAAGTAATTATATTTGTAAAGCACACCAATGTAAAACAATGAAGCTGCTTTGTTTAGAGATGTGAACTGGGAGTCAGCCGCTTTAGGCCCAGCACTGCTAGGAGGCTGTCTCATATTAGACCTGCAACATATGCAGACCAGACAGTGGCTAAGTCTCACACAAGACACTGTCATTTATTACACATTCTGGATAATCTGCTACTCAAAATAGTTAGCTTACTGAAATTGGAAGTGCTAAGAGTTTCTATGGGCAAATTTAAAGTTCTATAGTAATTTTGCCTTACTTCTTTTTTTTTTTTTTTAGTAAAAAAGACGTGTATGGAAACAACTAGCAAAGAACCTTATTGGTTATTTAATATTTACTATTGATATATCTTTTAGTTAAGCAGCGGTTATTCCTAAACAGCTCTATAACCAAATCACCACACAGAGACTAGGATTTATTTTATTAACCTAGAGCACAATGCTGGGCAATAGTTACTCCATCCTAAACCTCCAAGCCCGCATAGTTTCCTACCATTCATATTTCACCCATTTTACTTGCTTTTAGTGATATCTTAGGTCCGGTTCATTTCTCCACGTGGTTCCAAGACCTCCCTTCCAGCTTCTCCTCCTCTCCTCCCTCCTGCTTCCTTCCTCTTCCTCCCACTCTAGACCAGGATGTCCCACCCTATCCTCTCCATTGCTCAACATTGTAGCTGGTTGTTTTAATTGACAATTTTGAGAACAAATGGTGGTATGTTTACATAAACTTGAGACAGGTGATGCCTAGAGTAAGCATCACAATGCAGTGTCCAGATTGAAACCAGATGGTGGGGGAGAGAAATCAGCATTTGAATGAACAAGGATAAGTTGTATACATTTGAAAAGACAGAACCTGTAGCCTGTCTTACCTGAGTCAGAGCTATTTGAGAATAAAGTTTTAAAAAGGCGTGGTCACATACATTCTTGTAAATTAATGTAAAAGATATGTTGTATTCCCTAAGGTAATCTACAGCCCTATTTGTTTTCATCTTTCAAGGGGAAAGCACTTACCTAAATCAGTATGCATTCCTTCAGGCAAAGATCATACACACTATCAATATCTTCCACGTCTGACTTAACAGGAAATTGAGAATTTCATCATGTAGTACTAAGTTAATAAGTTTCAGGTAAGCTTTACAAAGCAAAAGACTATTTCTGCTCAGTACGTCTAGTATCCCCACAGTGATTGCTTTTCAGAACCCAGCTTCTAATAACTCTTTTTTCAGTGTTAAATGTCTTTTTTTTTTTTTTTTTTGGATTTTTTCCATGGATATAGTCTGCTTCTTGGTACTGGAATTAATTTGGTTGCCTACAACAGAAGTCAACAGCACCTAAATAAAATAATAAATAAATAAACAAACAAACAAACATGCATCATTAAAACATTTTTAGCATGCTGACCTAAGGCATTTAATGTTAAAACTCCATTCAAATTGCACTATACTTCATAGAGAGCACATTGTAAGAATCAAGCCTCAAGTTTGCCATTCTATTTTCTGGTTAATTATTAGTATGATTGGTATTGTGCTTGATCCATGGCTTCTCGAAAGAATTTGTGTAGCGGTCTTTTTCATTTTATCTAATGTAAAACAAGGTATTCATCACAACATGATGGTGAGCAGATGATGAGCAGTATGGCTGGCCCACTTGGGTGAGAAGCACCTTTCCTCCCTCTGTATACATATATACATAGGTATGTGTGTATGCACACACAAACATATATGTATGTATGTATATATGTATATATGTATGTATGTATGTGTGCGTGTGTCATATATATGACCAAGTCATATATGTGACCAAGTCACAACATGACAAATATGAAATCATATAGCTATGTGTCCAGCATCTGGGACACATAATGGTATAATGTGGGCCCCAGAGGTCTTGAGCAGTCTTACCCTTACAGCATTACTGCTTAAAACTCCTGTGGCCCTCTCTGTAGGGCAGGCTCCACTAATTAACTAGAACTTTCCTTGGTGGACATTCCATATTCCTAGGGTCTCCATTGCATCGTTGACCTTACCTCTACAATTTTAATGCATTGCCCTTTGAGGGGCTTTCTTTGAGGATCCTAGTTCTGCTGTACATCGCTGGATCTCCACACCTTCCTTTGAAATCAGGGTAGAAAGCCCATCATTCCATAATTCTTGGATTCTGCCTATCTACAAAACTAGCACTATGTGAATAAAGTCAAGGACTGCCACAAAGCTCAAGAGGTAGCCAGGCTCCCTTGAAACATGAATGCAGGTATCTCAGAGTGCACCTGAGGAAACACTTTCCTAATAGTGTACCAGTACCTTGTGCCTCAGATGTTTGGCATATAGTTACAGGACTATATACAGTGGCCTTGTTAAGTGTGATCTTGATTGCCTTGATCCAGTCCTTTCTTGGGACATGTGTCCCTAAGGCCAGCAACACAGTACTTCCTTAACAGCTAGTCTTGGAGTTTTCTTCTCAAAACAATGTTTTCAAGTGAATTAAAACCTCTATACCCTAGAGTTTGGAATGGGCAGGGTCCAGCCAGTTCCTGAGATGTCCTCAGGGTGTCTTTCCTATTCCTAAGATGTCCTTGACTTATTTTTAGTGGCTCTAGTGATTTAAAGCAGCTCCCCTTTGCTTGGCTTACAACTGTCAATTACAAAAAACGTGGGGGTGATAAATTTTGCAAAAATAAAAACTTGGTCCTAAGGAGCCAGTAAAGCCCACGTGACAGCCTGAATGCTGGACTGCTGCAAAATTTTCTCCACTCTGTTAGTCGGTTATTTTCAAATTCAGCGTTATAAGTCTCAGGGCATGCTCAAAATACAGACAAGTTCTCTGCCACAGTTTAAAATGAGTGCCATTAGTTTAGTTTAGTTTACAGTGTTGTCCTCACTACTATCAGAAACCTTGCCAACAATCTTCCTATCATTTCCTGTGAGCATTCAGGGCATTTATACTCAAAACAGAATTACCCACTAAATTATGCTCAAGTATCTAGGACCTCCTTGGGACATCTCCAAACTTTCTCAAATGCTCACAAACCAATTTATTATTATTATTATTATTATTATTATTATTATTATTATTATTATT